TCCGCAATAGCCATGATGGTGGGCCACCTCCGGGTAAAATCCCACCAGCTCGAACGAACCACACTATCGTCAGCTTCAACGATAAGCTTTACTTGTGAGTCCCTCTACCTACAACATAAATTTTTCAAGTATTAGATCTAATTTTTGCAGGTTCGGTGGAACGAACGGGCTGCAATGGTTTAATGACGTCTGGTGCTACGACCCCAGGACGAATCTTTGGGCACAACTTGATTATGTTGGGTTCGTACCAGCAGCGAGAGAAGGGCATGCTGCAGCCCTCATTAATGACGTTATGTATATCTTTTCCGGACGCACTGAAGAAGGCGCAGATTTGTCAGATCTAGCCGCGTTCCGTATCACAACTAGACGATGGTTTTCCTTCCAAAACATGGGACCATCGCCTTCTCCTCGCTCTGGTCATAGTATGACCTCATTCGGCAAACAAATCATAGTCCTTGGGGGCGAGCCGAGCACCGCGCCCCGTGATCCGGAAGAGCTCAGCCTCGTGTATGTCTTGGACACTGCGAAAATTCGATATCCTGCCGAGCCCAGCCCAACTTCTCCCACCGGCAACGCCTCCCGCAAGCTAGGCCAGGCGGACCGTCCGAGCGCATCCGGCCGTACATCACGCGAAGCCCATAATTCAACACCTGATTTGCATGGCCGCCGTGGACCGTCATCGGGTAGAGAGAGCGCAACTGCTGGTAGGCCTGATGTGTCAAGCCCTGGCCCTGGGGGCACAGGGTCTCGTTTACCCCGAGCATCAATCGCGCAAGCACCAGCAGGACCACCGCCTCCCGGACAAGCGCCAACTCCAACACCCAGGGCTCCTAATATTAACACCCAGAGTGGACGAAGCAAACCACACAAGGGAGGCGAACGAGGAATGACACCTATTGACAATCTAAGAACTGTCGGGAATGAAAAGGACAGACAGTCACCTGTGATGCGCGAAATGATGACAAATTCTCGGCCAGGACGCGAGCAGAGCCCCGTTTCTGGTGGGCGCCAGCAATCCTCACGACTTTCTGCTCGAGCTATGGAAGCTGGAGAAGCCGCTCCACTAGTGACACCAGCTCGACAACGTTCCTTACGACAAAAACATCATAACTCTATTGATAGTGTTGATGACTCCATCCTGGGTAAGGGCCCCGGCAGCGCCGATGGGTCTGAGCAAAGAATATATAGGAATTCCAGAAACTTCAACGATGAGCCTCGCTCCCCTCGACTGACTCCACATCAAGAAGCTCTTATTAAAGACCTCGAAGCAGCAAAAGCCAGGAATGCTTGGTATGCTTCAGAGTTAGCAATGGCCCGCAAAGCAGGATATACGCTCAACCCAGCAAACGCTTCTCCTCTTGACCAGCGATCTATAGATATTTTCAAGGAAGAAGACCGTCCTCTGATTGAAGCCTTCATTTCCATGCGAGCAGAACTGGCGAAAATGCAAGCCGCTGTTGATCGTCAAGCTGCAATTGCATCCAAGCGAGTGGCTGAGGTGGAACATCAGCGGGATGCAGCTATTAGCGAGGCTGCTTATGCCCAAGCTAAACTTGCGGCTCAAGGGGGCAGCCGAAGAGGAACACCACAATCGGATCGCAACGGTCGCGACGTTGATGAAACAAACCCTGACCGGTCCGCAGAAATAAGTCGACGACTAGCTCTTGCCCTTGCATCTCAAGCGGAATTGAAGGCGAAGACTGAAACTCTGATGTCCGAGCTTCAAGACGAGAGGAGAGCAAAAGAGTTGGCCGAAGAACTTCATGAGGTAACGAGTAAAAGATTGTCAGAAATGGAATCTCAAAACAACAACCTGGAATTGGAAAGTCTGCGGACTGAGCTCCATCACCTGCAGTCTGCATTCAGAGAAGAAGCAGCACTCCGATCCGAGGCGGAAAGTGCTCTGAAGCTGACCCAGATTGATAAAAGCGAACTATCTCAAAAAGTTGATGATCTCAATAGCCGTCTAGAAAACCATGGCACCGATGTCGGATCTCTTCGTGAAGCGGTCAACGCTTCCTCGGCCAAAGCTGAGCTGTTGGAAAGACAGCTGGAGGAGGAGCGGGATCACCGCGAAGGTTTGGAAAGGAAGCTTCTGCAGCTTAGAGCGGAACATGAGGAAAGGACCACTGAGCTCGAGAATACAGCCCGCCGGTTGAGAGATGCTGAAGAATTGGCAGAAACACATGCTAGGGAAGCAGAGAGCCACAGAGCAGCATTCTTGGCTGGTTTAGATCGTGCCTCTTCACGTGATTCCGAATCTACAGCTAAATCACTTGCTGAGCAAAGAGTTGCTGCTCTGAAGGAGCAAGTTGACCGGGCAAATGAGCTGGTGAAAACAAATCACCAAGCAGCAAACGAAGCTTCCGAGAAACTTCGACGAGCGGAAGAACGTATTGCAGGATTAGAGCAGTATCAGGAACAAGCTAGTCGAGAGGGTCTGCAGCTCCGTAGGCAACTCCAGACTGCTCTGAAAGAGAGCCAAGCGCTTAGTAACGAAAACCGGGAAGTGAAGGCACAGCTCGAGAACCATCAACGCGACGCCAATGCGTTGGCCATACAACATGGCGCATTGAAAGAGCTGCTTGGCGAACGTGGCATAACGGCTGACAACAGGCGATCGCCATTACTGGATTCACCAGGTTCTCGTTTCGGAACTCCTGAACACAATCGCCTCCGTGAATTAGAGCAACAACTTCAGTCAAGCATAAAGGCGCATGAAGAAACGAAGCTATCCTTCGAGTCGAGAGAACAAGAGGCTGATCGTGCATACAATGAGAAGCTTGAGCAACTTGAAAACGATTATCAATCAGCCGTTCATTATGTAAAGGGAACAGAGAAAATGCTCAAGCGAATGAAGGACGAGCTTTCCAAATACAAATCACAAAATTCTAAGCTACAGACTGAGTTGGAAACTGCGCTTCAAAAAACTAATTCAACATCCTCCCCATCTCCAGAAGCGTCTGCCCAATGGGAGACCGAGCGGCTCGATTTGCAAAAATCTCTGTCGGACCTACAGGAGAGGACTTCGACTTCCATTGCTAACCTCGAAGCTCAACTCGCAAAACTTCGAGAGGACCTCACAGCTACACAAGCAGAAAGAGATCAAAGCCTCTCGGAACAGGACAACATCAAACGCGAATTATTGAGCATCACGGAAAAGAGCCGCGAGGATCTGGAGCAGCTTAAAAGCGAGAATGCCCTTCTTGAAAGCCGGGCGCTGGATGCCGAGCAAAAGATCTCAATGCTCCTCGACCAAGTCGAATCGTCAGTGACAAATTACCGACGACAATCCCAACAAGTGCTTTCCCATCCCAATGGCTTGAGCCGTACAATCAGCAACGCATCCAGCAATAATACGATCGGTGCCCGACCAAGGGCTGATAGCAATGTTTCCCAAGATGACTCCTTCCTTGACCACCGCAGTTCTTTCGCACTAGATTCTCTTGCTAGCGAGCTTGACGCTCTCCGAAGCCACTGGGAAAGCACAAACCGGAACTACCGTTTGAGTACCCAGTTCGACTTTGACCGTACGCCCACCAAGGAAACATATGGCGAGAGTGGATTAAGCGATAATTTGGCTAGTTGGCGGAAACGGTTGGATGAAGAGGAACGATCGTCGACTCCCGTTAAAGCTCCTACATCAGCCGCCTTGGCTCCTCCTGCTGCGCCTGCACAACCGACGATAGGTAATATGATTTGACCTGTTTAATAGCACATTCGATGCAAATGGCTATCTTTTCCACGTGGGTCTACAATGGGTGTACAAATCTGGGTGCTTTCTTTTCTTTTGTTCGTTGGTTAGAAGATATGGTTTGTCTGGAGGAAGAGCGGCCACAGGCCTTGATGGTCTCCGCTCTTTGATATTCCCCCCGCTCTCTTTTTTCTTTTTTTTTTTTACTTGACTTTGTTTTCAATTGCTTGTTTTGCCTGTTTTTTTTTTTTTTTTTTTTTTTTAAAAAAAATCTTCCTCCCTTTCCCGTCTTAACCAATTTCCCTAACTGTCGAATAATATCCTATTAACCATTACTCTAGTTTATTATTCCTATGCAGTTCTGACATTCATTGTTATTGACTTAACTTTATTCTCCTCTTCTCTTCCATATTTTTTTGCTACCATGGCACTTGATACCTGGTTTTTTAAGCTTAATGCTACCCTTATTTTCTTTTCCTTCTAACATGCCTTCCCTTCCGCCTTTTCGCTTCCACTTCATTGTCTTGTGATATTTTCCATCTCCGTTAATTTATATCTGCTTTGTGTTTTGCAAGTGAGACAAGGGGAAGAAGCCTTAGGGTATACATATTCATATACTTTTACTCTATTTGAAACCTTCATTTTCACTATTTTGCCCCTCGCCCCAAATTTTGTTACCTGGCCATTCCTCTATATGGCCGTGGTTTCAGGAATGCGTTCCTTTTCATCCTTCCCTCTCTTCATCATTTTTTGCCATGGTTCTTTTGATGCAGCCTAGTTGCCTTTCTTCTTTTCCGGGCCTGGGTCTGAAATTTTTTTTTCATCCTCATTCTTTCATTTCTATTGTTTTTACTTATTTGTTCTAGCAGATATCGCTAGATCTTTCCGTGTCATTGTCCTTTTTCTTTTCTTTTCTTTCGTTTTTTTGTTCGTCGTGCCTTCCACTATCTGATTTGATATCCCTCACTACTTTTTAACTTTTGTTCGAGATAGTTCTCTGTTCGTTATATATATATACCATTTATATGTATGTTTACCTACTTGTTTGGCAGCTGATGATATCATTGTTTTTAATTTCATTTGGGTTTACAAAGTACTCTAATGATAGGTTCTGGTCTTCTTTTTGGTCTTTGTATAAAATACCCATTTTGGGAAATCCCCGATCGCTCGTAGGCTGGCTTTTGTTGATGTACCAACGAAGGGAAGAAGAAATTGGGAAATAAGCTAGGTAAGTTATAACAAGCTGTATTCACAATTCATGTGTCCCTGGTAGGATATAGTAGGATAGGAAATTTGATAGATTATTAGCAAGTTAACTTCATTATCTCGGGAAATACTTGACTTTTCGTCTCGTAAAGTAGTATAGGCAACCGCATCTATAACTCTGCATCCACTCAATTCGTTTCTTGAATCGCCCTATATCTATCAACTGATCCCTTCGCCAAGAATTGATCAGGTACAATCCTATTCACGTTTCTTTTCTCGTCCACGCTGCCCCAAGCACCGCCACCAGGAGTGTGCACGACGATCCTGTCGCCTTTACTCATCGCCACGGTTGCCTTTGCTCCAAGGCTAACCACCATTTCATCACCTGTTGCTTTATCACGCCTAACCCACAAATTCTTCCCTGATTCACCGGGGCCTCCACCCTGAAGGCCGTAGGGCTGATGACTCCTGCGCTCGGACAATATCGAACACTGGATAGGAATGAGGAACTCAATATCGCGTACCACACCGTCGCCACCAGGATGTGAGCCCCGACCCCCCGACCCTTTTCGGAGGGAGAATTCCCGGAGGAGACATGGATAGCGCTTCTCGAAGACTTCTGGATCGGTGATGCGTGTGTTAGTCATGTGCGTGTGCACGCCGCTCTGTCCATCCCACGTTGGCCCCGCTCCGCTGCCGCCGGCAATTGTTTCGTAGTACCCAAATCCATTGACATGTTCCGCGTTTGCTGTCTTGCCACCCGTTCCAAAAGTGAGGTTATTGCAACAGCCTTGCGATGCGGCACAGGCGTTGAACGCCTTCAAGACGACATCCGTGATTCGCTGCGATGTAAGCACGTTTCCTCCAACAACGCCAGCGCCCTTGGACGGTGACAGCAGCGTTCGGGGAGGAATTCGGATGTCGATGGGGTTCAAACATCCCTGGTTCAGAGGGATATCGGATTTCACTAACGAACGCAGGCAGTATATAATTGCCGAATGGGTGATGGCTGGTGGAGCGTTCGTATTGCCGAAAACCTCACAACCCGTTCCTGCAAAATCAAACACGGCTTCCCCCTTCTCGCCATCGATCGTAATCTTCAGGGCAATCGGTGTTCCATCGTCCATACGGTCAACGGCTTCAAGCGTGGAGCCCAATGTTCTGGCGGTGGTTTTGAGAAGTTCTCGCACGGCGATTTCGGCCGTACTTTGGATTGCGTACATATATGTATGCACACGCTCTAGTCCACATTCCTTGATTAACCCATTGATAAGTGATATGCCCTTTTGGTTGGCGGCAACCTGTGCCCGGAGATCGGATAAATTATCCTGGAGACATCGGGTACCAGAGCAACCAGGGTACTGCGCCGGCTCCTTCAATAACAACTCTATCATCCGTTCTTCATTGAAGAGTCCTCCGGTAACTAATTTTTCAGCTTCGATGGAGGCCCCTTCTTGCCATAGCTCCGTGCTTGTTGGGGGCATGGAACCAGGAAGACACCCTCCGATATCTGCATGATGGCCACGGGATGCGACGTAAAACACAATTTCGCCATTCTCGAAAACGGGGGTGATGACCGTAATATCAGGCAAATGGGTCCCGCCGCAGGTCGGATGGTTAGAGATCAGAACGTCACCATCCTCCAGCTTGCCCTCCCAGTATTTGTGCTGGTATCGGACTGCAAATTGCATCGAACCCAAATGTACAGGGACGTGAGGTGCGTTAGCCACGAGGCCTCCATCGGGTGAAAACAGTGCACACGAAAAGTCAAGACGTTCTTTGATGTTGGTCGAAACAGAAGTCTTCTGCAGTGTTCGACCCATCTGCTCAGCAATGGACATGAACCGGTTACCGAATATTGATAGTTGGATGGGACTAATACTAGCAGTGCTTGTCGACGCGGTTGCTAACCCATCGAGCGCGGGCGCTTTCTTCTTGAGGTCGATCACCACGCAACTTCCCAGAATGCTTGCCATTGCTCCAGGGACGAGGACTATCGTTTGCGTCTGGTCGATGATCATAGCAGGGCCTTGAATGCGCGAGCCCTCCGAGAGTTCTTCTAGTTTAAGCACGGGAGTCGCGACCCGTCCGTACTCTGCGCCGAAATAGACAATTGCCCTCTCATTGATGTCCGTTGCTGAAACTTCGTTGAAAGTAGTTTTCTTCATCTGGTTGCGAGACAGTTAGCAAAGGAGATTACTTCGGCCGAGTGTATCTACCAGATACTCACCTGGGCGTATGGGCTGCTCTCCTTCTGCCGCGAAGACGATGCAATGCTCCGAACCCGGATATCATCGACAAGAATCCGTTTATCAGGCGAAAGGAAACCAAATTCGAATTTATGCCGTTTGTTGAACTCAGCACCGAAATCCCAGTTATCGCCTTTTAGAATCATAAGCGCCGTGCTGGTACCTTCATATCGCATATTCAGATACATTTCATGCCTGATATTATTGCGTGAAAATCCTTGACTTTCCAGCTCAGCTATGGAAGTTTTAGCCAACTCCTCCAATTTGGAACGAAACTCTTGTTCAGTCGACTGGCTAAAAACTTCTGAGGCTGGTTGCGTCGCATCGTGCACTACATCTGCGAGGGCCATCCCATAAGCTGACAAGATTGAAGAGTATTTGTGGATGATAACACGGGAGATTCCGAGAACAGATGCAACAGAACAAGCATGCTGGCCACCAGCACCACCGAAACAAGAGAGATGATGAACAGATGTGTCGTATCCACGAGCCTCTGTCAATGCGCGAATTGGCCGCGACATAGATTCGTTAGCAACTGAGAGGAATCCCAGGGCCACTTCCTCCGGCGTAAATTCGTTCCACCCTTTTGAGCGCTGTTCACTGTTAATTTTTTCTGTTAATTCTGTGAACTTTTGGTGAGTGATTTCCACGTCAAGAGGCTCATTTTCGTTTGGCCCGAAAATCTTTGGAAAATATTCCGGCAGTAATCGACCTAAGAAAAGATTGGCATCAGTTACGGTTAGGGGTCCCCCTTTTCGGTAACAAGCTGGCCCTGGATGTGCGGAGGCCGACTCTGGTCCCACGACAAAAAGACCATTCCTCCAGAAAAGGATCGAGCCACCCCCGGCCGCAACGGTGTTGATGTCTAGTTGTGGGGATTGAATGGAAATTCCGGCAATTGTGGTTTCGAAGACGTGGTCGTAGACTCCCGAGTACCGGGATACTAAAATGAAGTCGTCTTAGAAAGAAATTGGATAATTGGGAATTACAAAAGTAGTAGGGCCAACACATACCATCTGTACTTGTGCCACCCATATCAAATCCTATGACAGGAACTTGCTCGTCGTCATCCCAGGAAGTCTCTGCATATCCGACCACACCACCCGCTGGTCCGGACAAGATAGCCTTCAGACCGCTAAATTTTCGGAAGTCCACCAATCCGCCATCCGACTGCATGAACTCGCACCGCGTGCTTCCAGACGCAAGTCCTCCGATAAAATTTGATGATATCGAGTCGACATACTCTTTAATTATCGGGGTTAAATATGCGTCCGCTGTGGCACTCATACCGCGAGGCACTGCCTTTATCATGGGCTGCAGTTCCGAAGATATAGCCACAGAAAATCCCATCTCACTAGCTGCTTGCCCAATTAACTTCTCATGTTCTGGAAATGTATATGAATGAAGCAACATCACGGCTATCGACCGATATCCTTCATCCCATAACAACTGTAGGTCAGATCTGACTTTTTTCATATCCGGCTTGACAAGGATATGGATATACTCTCCAGTAATTCCTCTGACGACATCTTCCGCTTCCTCTATCGGCTGAGGATCGGGATCTTCCGCATATCCTTTCAGGGTTACTCTCTCGTCAACCTCAATAACCTTCTCATATAACACCCCAGGCTTGGCGACCGAAAGGTCGAAAATATTTGGCCGAGATTGGTTCCCGATGACCAAAAGGTCTTTAAATCCTTTCGAAATGAGCAGTGCGGATCGCGCTCCCTTTCTTTCTAGCAATGCATTGGTCGCGACGGTCGTGCCCATCCGAAGCGATTCGATAGGTGCAAGATCCAGTTGCTGCCCACGGGGTATCTTTTTGCCTGTGGCGATCTCGAGAATGCGTCTGATTCCTTCCGTTGGGGCATCTTTGTAATTTGATGGATCGACAGAGAGAAGTTTGAGGATAATATCACTACGTCCAGGGATTGACGCATGGACGTCAGTGAACGTCCCGCCTCGATCTATTGAGATTCTGACTCTGGGGGGCTGTTGCTGGGATGACATGACCGACTGGCTGTCCAGGAGGACGGGGGCTTAAATTCTACCCAAAGGTGTCAAGGAGGGGATTATACCGGCTGTATTCTTGATGATAACTGTAGGAAATTGGAAGTGCTGGCGATGAGTCTGGAACCGAGAAAATCATCGACTATTTATATAGAAAGGGCATCCAAAACGGCTTGGCAATTATAGATCATTAGAAATCATCAGATCCTCATCACAGTCTGGATCCAGGGCCGACCACGCTCTGCGAGAAAATGGAAATGCCCCTTCCATCGCCATTTTATGTCGTCCGAGTGAGATCGGGAAGATATACCGATCTGATAAGATAAGCTCCACTGTCCCAGGCAATATTAAACTTTGTCAGTGCGTTAGCGTTCCTTTATCGACCGAGAAAGCCTCAGGACGGAGAGATCTTCCCGAACGCCCTAATCCTCCCAGCTACTCCAGGGTTTAATAAACTGGCAACTTACATGTAGTTTGTACAGGGATGGCAAACTAGAGTTTTGAACACCTTAAGATCAGGAGACTATATTTCAGTTAGGATCGGAAGGATTTGAGCTACGCAGTAGTCAAGATGCAACGGCCCGAAAAATTTCTCCATCTAAATTTACACGACGGAGATAAAACAGAGGACAAAATGCATAACATAAATAAGGTAAAATTTGGATAGCTTAAATAGTACAGCATAGCTGGAGTCAGTTGAATATACTATTAATCACATCACCAGGTTGCGAGAATATCAACACCCAACAGTGAGCTCCGAAGTCCATCCAGAAATACATTTGGCGAAAATACCATCAACAACCCCACCCCCCACCCCCCCTGTGATAGCAGGAGACACAAGGAAACTCGAAACTCTCCTAGCCTGTTGCTTTCTGCGATAGACAATTGGGTCCTTGAAAAAGCCCACTTCTCACGAAATCTCGTGATGTACAAAGTCTCCGGTGTCCGTGACAAGTGAATAAGCAGGGTCCGTCGATGGGGCAAAGAACTTGAATTTATCAACACCGAAAATCCAAGGATACCCCGAAGGTAGGACAGCATGACACGAGTCAGAAATATATCAACGCTTGCCAGGCGGGTCTTTTCCTCCACTTGGAACCATTTCAGGCATCATCTCCTAATCACTCTCAACATTAATCCTTTTGGGGGTTTGGATTGGCTCGTCCCTTCCACTACCAGCGTAGCGCTGGTGGTGATCAGGCTCTCTTGCCCTAATAAATCGCATCTCATAAATAGTTAGGGAGTCATAAGCTATTCTTTCGCTACGAGGGGGATTCAAGCGAGCAAACAGGAGTCAAAACAGCGCGTAGAAACTCATGTTATAATAACCACCAAAGCCTATTAGCAGAAGAATTTAAAGAAAACGGGAAGTATGTTCCCGGAGGACAAGGCAACATGGGTAACACCACCCGCGAAGCTGGCAAAATAACCTAGGGTTGCCCTATGATGGAAATTTGCGAACCATGTCGGGGGGCAATACCGACGACGCTGTCATAAGTTGATAGCTCTAAACTCCCCACCCCACTGCCCCGGTGATACTCTCATTTCCAGCCCAATAACGAGCCACGCTATCGATTGCGATTGGGCATAGCCATAGTAGAGGCTCGTTTCGAGAGCCGCAGGAACATCGTTCCGATGTTCGGTTGAGTGGCATGCCCTAGCGTAACGGAAGATACGCGGTATACCCATTATAATTCAAGACTCCTGTTATGTGGTTAGTTGGACTCCAGAAAAATCTTCACAAATAGTGCAGGGCTCGAAAGGCAGACCTTGCCGGCATTGAAACCCTTTGGAGCATATTATCGGGACTGAGATACCGGCCTCCTAGTTTATGGGTACTTGGGCAAGCTGCTGCTGGTAGGGCCCATATTTCGTAATGGCAACCAGGTGGCACCATTGTCACCTCCGAAATTGTCACTATGGAAATAGTCTAGATGGATTCAGTATAGTGTGGGAACCTAAGGTGCTGTGATCCTTACATATCCGTTCAAGAACAAGGAACTACATAGCATTGCATGAGCAATTGTGGGCAAGGCTCAGTTATGAATAGAGAAACGTAACTCAAGAGTGGCCGAACAAAAGGGTAGGCTAGTGAGGTATAGGCTGTCATCGCCTCTGACTGCATACAGCCTTGGGGAAAATATGAAGAAAAAAACGCCTACGAAGTTGTGGCTTTTCGTCTAGTAGTTGCGGCTCAGATGCAGTCGCCCCAGCAAGCTCAGAAGCCAGTTGACAAACCAACCCTGGTAGACCATGCACCAATTCAACATATTAATTAAGCGGTATTAAGAAATATATTGATAAGTCATTATTTCATATTCAATATAGAGCTCTATTGTCAAGTACAAAATTGAAAATAGCTGAACAGAAAGCCCTGTCTATTCAAAATCAGCAGTTCTCTGCATTCAGTACATATCTGTATATCAAGTTGAGATGACCTTTGAATATTAATTATTCTGTAAGGCCTATATAATATAAGCAATACATCACTTCTATCAATCAATACTACAGGTAGACTACCTCTCTACTATTAGCTTATAAGATCAATGTCGCCCCGCATTGAACCCACCATATCTCTATATATTCAAGTTCCCATCGCCGAGATTAAGAGTGTCAGTCCAAAGAAAGTCATGAAGGCGTCTAATCCAAGCTTATGGGTTTTATGTCAATGAATCGGTATTGTGGCTAGATGTATTTCCATTGAGAAATATCATTTTCTTGGAAATGGGAGGCTTTTTGTCATGTTGATCATTCTTCGGACACCCTTTAAAAAGGGGAAATCACATCTCAAAACAACTAGAAATTCACTGTGCCAATCAAAAATTGGTCGTAAAAGTTTGCCTGACCCTAATTAGCGTAAGAAAAATAGATCGATTCGGACTCTAGAGCCACCAAACCCCACCCCCGCCAAGCAGCCCTTTACTCCCTTGCAAAATAAATATAAAATGGAGGTCATCATCTCCAACAGCTCCAATATATTCTCTGGCAATGTGCCCCTAGAGATTATATTCAGATATGTCACGTTTTATGCTCTCGAGACCTATTAATTTGGACCGTCCTCGCCGCGCTCCCATAGCGTAGGTGTAGTTGCTTCTAATCCTCTTGTTTCTCTGCATGTTACTTATCCTTGTCATAGATGCAATTATTGTAGAAAACGCAAGACGAAATGCCTCGGTGGAAATGGCAGGTTGGCTTGCAGAGCCTGCTCAGTCGCAGGTCGGACATGCACTTACCCGGATGCCCAGAGGACTGTCCGAGTCCCTGAAGCGTGAGATATTGGATTCTCCTAGTATTATCCGCTGAAGGATTTGCATCTTTATTCTGACAGTCAGTAGATATCTTGTCCAGCTGGAAACTCGGCTTAAAGAGTACGAGAAAGGCCACAATAATGGCGCAGGGCGTCAGGAATCTTTAGATGTGACCCCCCTTGAATATCAACATCAACAGGACCCTCCTGCAACTACTCTCTCTGGCAATTCTGAGCCACCTACGACCACGAATGAAGATGACATTGATGGCAACCCGCTCACTGAAAAGATAGCTCACCTGGTCCTCAGTCCTGAGGGGGATAAACGTTCGTTTTTTATCTCTCTTCCTCTCTCTCCCTCCTTTTTACTATTCCTAAAAGGCCAGAGGCTTAAATTTAAAATAGGTTATATTGGCAATTCTTCATCCGCTAGCCTAGGGAAGAAGTTTCTTGATTTCGTCAGGTCATTTAAAACGGGGCTCGATATCGGAGAAGATTTCATAACTCCAGCGTATAACAGCTGTTCTAACTTCTCTATTCGTGCGAATGCGCATCAGGCCAAACCATTCACTACTTCGCTTCCACCTTTTCCGTTTGCGAAACGGCTCTATGCGGCACAGTATTCCTACATTGGCACAATTTTCTCGTTCACTTCACCAGAAACATTCGAGAAGAATATTCGTGAAATGTATGATCGAGAGGTTGATTTTACGAACAAGAGCGACTGTCTACGATATTGTCAGATTTTCATAATTCTTGCCTTCGGCCAAATGTACTCCATCAATCAATGGACAAGCTATGATGGGCCCCCTGGGTTTGAGTACTTTCAGCAAGCTATGAACCTCCTTCCTGCTATACACGAGCAGCCTTCGGTGACTTTTGTTGAAGTTCTCTCTTTGGTTGGATATTTCTTTCAGAATTTGAACCGTAGAGATGATGCATTTCTACATGTAATTTCTGCAAATTCCCCTTTTAAGCAATATGGGAACATCCTGTTAATGTATTTGATAGACAGGATTGGCGCTGCGAATGGCCGTATTACTAGGTTTACACCAAGAAGTCTCTGATGACACCTTAGACGACCATGCTCGTGAGCATCGTCGACGACTTTGGTGGTCTGTTTACAGTCTGGATAGGTATTTATGCGACAGAAATTCTCAAGCATACTTCTGCTGATAATGGCGTAGGATTCTCTGCGTGAAGTCAGGGAATTCACTCACGATCGCGGATGAGGATATCGGCGTTTTTCCCCCTTCCCGTCTAGTATGTGGTTCCCGCAGCACACGACTCACAAGTCTCTACTTACGTCCTAATAAATTACAGTCTGATGAACCAGATCTAGGCCCGGCCGCTGTCCTTTTTCATTACACTGAATTATCTAGGATTCTAGGTAGAATCATGAAAAGTGAGCTGCACGTCAATGCTGGTATGAGACTTGATGCTAAGTCAACACGCAGACGTATATCGCACACCACGCACCACCGCCTACAATCTCGTGAGCTCGGTACAGTCTATCCTTGCAGAATTAACCCAGTGGCAGTCAAATCTACCCCATGCGTTACAGTGTGATTTTACAAAGTTGGATTCTGGAATATCACGCCAATGCGTGTCGATGTTTTTGCATTACTCACAATGTATCAATATGACAGTACGCCCTTTAGTCTTCAATGTTGTTCGAATTTGTCTTCAGAATCACGAAAAGACGGGAGAATGGCCGGATTGGAAAGAAGGCCTGCAACAGAGCACAGTATTAGCTGTGGAAACGTGCGTCGCTGCAGCTCGGAATAGCGCAGCGGTAATGGCCACTGCTGCGAAACAAAACCTCATAGGTGCTTTCCACTATATCTGTCTTCCTTAATCTCTGTTTTATCCTTGTCCCTTATACTCTGACTACGAACGACTGACGCAAAACCTAGCAACATACGGCTATATGGACGGCGAACATGCATTCTCCGCCGCAATAATCCTCGTTATGATCAACATTGCTTTCCCATACAACTTGCGAGACCGCGCAGCGATGGTCCTTGCCCTTGACGTGCTCAACGGCATGGCAGAGAAGGGTAATTTGCACATTCGATCCCTCCATCGTCTCCTGCTCAGCCTCTATCACACCGTGATCCCATCACCTACGGAATCTGGCGATAAGCCTGCGTCTGCAGCCCCGGAGCACGAGCATATGTCCCCCCCGCCAGCTGACCTGGCACCGCCAGAAACTTCGCCTACCGAGCATCGGCCCGAATCCCAGCCGATCCAACTTCCCCATGTATCAGTAGATGACCCGCTTGCTGCATTTCTAGCTGCGCAGCAGTCAACATCTCCTATTCCTATGTCTGGTGATAGCGGCTTCATTGTTCCGGAGGAGCTTCTCTCCTTTGAGAACCCAATGGGTGATGCGATTTTGTGGGAGGAGGGATATGGGACTTTTGATGTCGGCATGGATTTTGATTGGGCACAATGGAATTCTTGACCTGATTGAGATGATTTTTATGATTATGATTTATGGTCTTCATTTCCTTTGGATATACATACATACTGTTTGCATACGGTTCGCTCTCTAGTTTCTTATAATTGGTTCCATGATCATGTCCTATATATTTTTATCTATATACTGCAGCTACCTCCCACGTCGTTACTACCATTGGAATCTGGGGTGTTTGGTTGCTTCTCTAATCTTTCCAATACATCTACGCTCCCTGTTAATAACAAGCATCCATTACTTTATAAAGGTAACGAAACTTTCAAGTCCCCAGCCCCTCATCGATTCGATGAAGGTTTCTCAGCAATGTCAGCTCATCCGAATGGCCCATTAAACAAACAGCCTTCAAAATCATAGACCTGGATTCAATGGCCCTTTAGCCAGTCAGTATTCGTGGTCGCCCCTCAACCGACAGCAACTCGGGATCAACATCAACCTCAGAATGAACGAATTTACGGTATATGTACGACACGCCCTGACCTCAAGTTGGGCACGCAGGCCGACGACCAGTGATGTCATTGAATCCAATCACTCACTTTCACCCCCAAATATACATACATGCAATGTATATTTAATCTTAAGCCCAACAACACGCCGCACACGCAGTTTTGCCTGCCCACATTTCACTCAGCCGCAACAGCTCGAGACTACGTCAAGATCGGAACACTGTAATGCCAGGTGGAAGAGTTCTAGCTTGAGTCATAGAACATTGGGCAGCAGTGCAGCAGCGAAGGAAGCTTTCAAAGAGTAAAAAAAAATTGGCAAATCAAAATTTAGTAATACGGCGCATCCCTTCATTGGTTGTTTCAAGAGGGGGAAATTTATACAAACACATTAGATTTCTGGAAAATTGAGTCGTTTGCGGTTCGAATAATACATTATTAGCCTTTAATGTTACAGGAATAACAGAGCTTCATCTTGTGTCAAATATAGGTTTAGAATTCGGTTGGAATTTGGCGACTAACATACGCATTCGACTGTTCGATTTTCTCTTGCTGAATTGTATTGGTGGTGTGTGTGGTTTCGCCTATACTCCCACTTCAACCTACACCCGTGCCCCTGGCTCACATCGAGTGCATCCAGCAACGCCTTCCAACTTTACAATTACAATAGTTCGAGGTAAGTGAAAACTTATGGAAGTCAAAATCAGTACGGATTTACGGAGATGCAATTGAGAAAAAAAATATGTTGGCGTTGCTAACAGATATGTAGTTAAAAGAGGGAACGAAGATAAAGTAGATAAATAATTCGTGAAGGAAAGAAAGGGGGCAATTGAAAAAGCATGTCAAAGAAAAAGCATCACCTTCTGGCCTTCATGAACCTCCCCAGACGCGTGTGTATCCCAACACTGCTGCAAAACCCCAGGATCGTCTTTCACTCTCTCTCCTCATTACCTAGGCCTCTCTTCTCCTTGAAAAAATGAAAAATTGTGGAAACAGGAAGTGCAACAAGAAGTCAGAAATACGAATCCAAAGCATAGGAAACACGTTTGACGAAATACCACCCCGGAAGCGACCCTAAGCCATAAATCCGTCGCCATTTTCCCGAGCAGAGGAGGTATCGGCGCGGAATAGTTCCGCGTCGCGTCGAAGTTGAAGAGAATAATAATTTCCACCAATTTAATCATGAGCTGATAACGGGGAAGCAGGAAATCATTATCCGTTCTCCTCAGACATACCCTCTCCGCGTTGTTAAATGTTGCTCGTCCCCTTTGCTTTCGTCAAACGTAAAATGCATCACAAGGAAAAAAGAAAAACAAAAAAAAAAATGACAATTTAGGATGTGGGAAATGTGGGCTGAACAAAAGATGATTACTAGGAAGGGGAGAGAAAATCTGGGCTACATTTCTGGGAACCCAGGAAACCGATGGCTGATAGAACCATATTGTGGTAATCGCTTAGGACATCCCTTTAGAGAGCGTGTACCACTTCCCTGACTGTATTGGTTGAACAAAGTGAATAATCTTCATCGAAAAGCGCAACCGAAAGGGCCAAGGAAGGGAGACAAAATATGTTCTGAAAGCCTGCATCCAGTTATTCCATGATAAATAGTAACTCGACGGGGTTAAAAGTCGCCGGCGCAAGTTAATCGTACGAAAGTTGACTGCGATGGGGCGAAGGGCCGAAGCGACGATATCCATGGATTACAAATAACCGAGGTCGAGAAATGACTGAACGAATGGCTAAACACACCATAAAAATGGAGGGGATTCAGAACGAGGAAAAGGTCTCAGAGCTTAGTGGGCAAATATGCTAGATGCTTGCATATTACCACACCACAAAGAAAATCCGAGACTTAAAAAGGACGAAGTAACCACCGCTCGCAAAATAAATCAGTACCAATTAGCACCAGTACCATCATCCCGCTTCGAACGGTGGTAAGCAGTACTGGTGTAGCCAGCACCCGCATTAACACCCTTAGAAGCAGAACGAAGCCTAACGCCGAAGACTATGAGATTAGTCAGATTCTTGAATCAAAATCCCATGGCCAGCATCAGTTCCTCGAAGCGGTAGATTGTTGCATATACTCACATCCTTTCAGTTCCCCCAACGGCGCGATTTGAGTCGGGAGTATCGACAGTTCCACTTGGGATGCGTTCCACAACCTTGCGACGGGGAGCCGCAAGGGCCGATGGCTTGACCTGAGGATTCTGAGTGTTGGCAGGATGACGACGGTGCTTTTCCTCATCCTCAGCAGCTTGGTTACCAGTTGCCTGAGCAATCGCTTGTGCATTCTTCTGATACTTGTAAACGGTCCAATCAAATACGTAGTCGTATTGGAAGGATTCTCGGACAAACAGGTCGCGGAAGATTTTTCTGAGGTAGGAATAATCCGGCTTGTCATCGAAACGTAGAGACCGAGTGTAGTTCAAATACACAGAGAATTCGTTGGGGAATCCGCGGCAGAGAACCTCAGTGGGGGTGGTCATCTTTTTCTCCATGATGCGGTCATATTTCTGTTTTTTGGTAGCGGCCTTCAGTCCTTGCCATGGAAGAGATCCACGGCAGAAATAGAGCATGACATAGCCAAGGGACTCCATATCATCACGACGAGACTGTTCCACTCCCAAGTGAGTATTGATACTGGCATATCGCGCAGTGCCAGTCAGGTTCTTGTTTTCACGATACGGAATGTGGAAATGGGTCTTTGGGTCACGATATTTCTTAGCGAGACCGAAATCGATCACGTTGACTTGATTGCCACGTTTCCCAATGCCCATCAAGAAGTTGTCCGGTTTGATATCACGGTGAATAAAAGATTTTGCATGGATGTATTCGATACGGGAGATAAGCTGATCAGCCAACAGAAGCACGGTCTTCAGGGAGAATTTGCGGTTGCAAAAGTTGAATAGATCTTCCAAGCTGGGGCCAAGCAAATCGATGACCATTGCATTGTAGTCACATTCGGTGCCGTACCAGCGAACAAAGGGAATCCCGACGCCTCCGGCCAGAGATTTGTAGACACGGGCCTCATATTCAAGCTGTGGGTGTTTGGCCTTTACGCTCTCAAGTTTGATAGCGATCTCTTCTCCGGAAATGATATTGGTGCCTAGATATCCAAGGGTTAGAAACACGGTCCAATGGATGCAACAGTTTAGTACTTACCGAGATAAATGTCACCGAAACTGCCGCTGCCTATTTTACGGCCAATCCGGTATTTGTTACCGACACGGAGGTCCTGCCAACAACACATTAGTATACATGACGGGTTGTCAACATGGTGTTCCAGGTGGGATAGGTGTGGGTTGATTAAAAATATTTGTCGTTTGAGCCTGGCAATGCACTCAAACCAACAGGTAAATCGCCTACCATTGTCGTCATCGTGGCAGGAATGATGCAGCTTGACGCTGTTTTTCTGAGGAGAATGGGAGTTGCAGGGTTTATTGGATAGTGTCGTTAAAAAAGCTGTCGGTACCTCCAGAACGTTAACGCGTATAATAGGAAGTATAAGGACCACTTTGAAGAGAGGGGACGGAAATTAAAGAAGATGAAGAAGAGAAGGTCGAGAGATGACTTGGAACTAGACGTGAAGTAAAGTTAGTATTCAACAGGCAATGGGTCGTGCGTGAATGGTCTCCATCAGAGGTGAATGAGGTCAAGAATGGCAAGCCAAGCCGGTCCTGAGTGTACGGCGCTTAGAGAAAGAGGAGGAACTGCAGACTGGGAACAAGAGAGAAATGATTCTGGCGTGGTCCAACCAAAATAAAGGAACTAGGAAGGAATAGTTTGACTCACGATAGAGAGATTTGGGGATCTGGAGATCAATTTAAAAGAACGGGAAGAGAGCCTGGGAGGGGGAGGAGGAGAGAGCGAACTTACAGATGAAGAGGGGAAAGAGTCGTGCTTGAAGGGCTGAGAAGGAGGCTGGGTGTGTGCTAGGAAGTTGGCGGAAAGCACGACATAAAGAGGAAGCCCCTGGAGAGGATAAGAGCCTTCAACACGGGAAACTCCTTCACGACGGAAGCAAGTTTGAACGGTTGGAGGATGAACGGACGAGGTTGAGATGGAGAGAGGTTTTGATGTCGGTGAGGGATGAGTTGGCGTGCAGGTTGTGGTCAGGTCATTGGGTTTGGCCTTCTTTCGGCCTAGCGCGACAGACAGTACACGCCAGTATTACATACAGTACGCACGACTCGTGCCAGACAAGAATATATTACGCACCTGACCATGCAAATTTCAAGCCCGTTACTTACAGTACACTCAGCCTCGCAGGTACCAAACAGGAGGCTGGCCGGACTGTGTCGGACTGTGTCGGACTGTGAAACAAGAGAGGCAAAAGGACAAGCCAAAAGGGACAGGCGATGGAATCGACCGGCTGATGACAAAAGGCGCGTATTTTCCATGTATTGTATTATGTACATCTTACGCCCTACACCCATCCACTCATCCATTCACCCATCGCCAAAGCATACAAGTACTGTAACACCCATGCCCCTTCCGGGATTTCCATTTGAGGCTCGACATGCATAGCTTACTACTCCTCTCCAATATGGTAACTACTCCGTAAGCACGATAGGATGTCTGGAGAGTGGAAAGGGGAACGGTTCTTCCATCCATCCATCCAAAAGCATGCATCAATGTGTGAGGGGAACCTGCTCGTCCGCCAATAAAGCACACCTTTCTCCAACCAGGCTGAGACAAGGCCTATCCTGCTTATATAGCGAGTTACAGGGAATACCTCTCCCACTCCGAAACACCAATACGGCTGGGCTGCGACCGTCGCCTTGTGAAAATACCTCAGTGAGATGAGCAAGAAAAAGCAAAAAGCAAAATCACGAAAGGGCAAACGCCTCCCACAAGTCAGAGTCGTTGAAATACCACACGCCCTGTGATTTAAGGGGCCTGCAGGCAGTGCTCTACCTCCCAGCTTCCTAATTCCACTTAGAACTCGCGCTGCTCTCATCAAGCTTGAATTGGGCTGGTTCTCATCATCAAGAATGCTTCAGCGGAGCCCAGAGCTGCCATTTGCACTCTGAACAGCAACTGCGACTTGCAGGCTGTTTCCAGTAGTTGGTGGGTCGATGGTGCCCAACAGCTCGCTTGGCGGGCCTTACCTGCAGCCGGCCATTGAACTTGATCTCCAAATGGCAAGGTGACAAGTTTTTTTCCCCCCCGTCATCTCCTTTGGCAAATCGGCTTCTAGATCACACATGGGCTTCCATTGGGCGGTTAGGGTGATAAAGATTCGCAACCCATCAGACAGATGCGGTCTAAAAAAAAAAACAATGGCGGCATCAAATTGAATTTGATGCTCAAAAACACTTCCACGGAAACCTCACAACAAATGTTACGGCGTTACCAATTGTTAAACTTAGATACGAGAATATCTTACTAGCCCATATTGGCAAATTCGTATATTTCTACTGGCCTTCGAAGCAAAAAGTAAGCAAGCGAATACCGGGGTATGGAGATATCCTGAAGAGACGTCACGGTGACTAACACGCCTCAAACGCTGCTTGGGACGGATGAATTTTCTGGAAAAGGCCTCTGCTTCAAAGGATAACCTTGTTACATTTTTGAATCTCTGGAACCTATCCGAACCACTCATCTCTCAAGGCCTATCGCAACCATGCGATAACGACGTAACGCGATGAGATGGGAGGCAAGGCTGAGGCTCCCTCCAGCCTTCTCTACGGATTACTCACCAGCCCCATGCTGCCACCCGCGCTCCCACCAACATCCACCCCGTTTCAAGACCTGCGTCGATTTTATCCATGCTCACGATGACGGATTATGGAAGTAATGTATGTAAGCCGGATCATGGTGAACTGAAGAATGAGTCGTTTGCTAATGAGGGATAACATCTAACTGAAATATTCATTCTATCTTCGCTGAAAGGAAAGATATCCATGTTGTGGCGCTGAATTCTTTCCACAAGTCGGGTACCTAATTGCACTAGTCCGATTTCTCAACCTTCGCATTTCGTGCCTCCTTAGCAATTGGACCTTTCAAGGTAGCCTAACCCCATGATCCTAATCCTCCAATCCTATTCCATTATTCACCCTAGCTTCGGCTAACAGCGAGCAAGCGGCAGTATTCGTGCCCAGGTAATTCTTGAAGAACTCGTGAACGTCCCTTCGTCAAAAATCACTGTCATCATCTTGTAATCATTTGGGAGCTTCGACAGCCCCCTACAGAGCCTACGCCCCCTTTGTAGACCACCGAAAGGGAAATCGCGCCAAACCTAAATGGTTAGCGCTAGACCGGATGCCGAACGGCGTTAGACCGGATGGGTTCGATATACTGTACCTAGGCACTGAGGCGCCAAGGTGGGTGGGTGGTTTGATCTCAGAGCTAACACGATATATCCAGGTAGCAGTTAATTTAACCTGGGAATTGGGTGTTCAATCATGAGAGTAGCTGGAATTCTATGGACGCGCCCCGATTCAGGCTTGGAGTTTTCTCAGGACTCCCCATTGTGCCGCCTCTGGTTTCTCGTTAATGGTACACTAAGGCTTGACATGGTTCTAACCAAAATACCCCGTGGTGAATGCGGATAGATGATTCATATGTCACTCATCTACGGCCTTTCTCCTTGTGCCCTCTACGTTCCCGCATATAAAGATTTTTTTAAACTAACGACAGAAAAGTAGAAGTGTGATATATTTCTCATACATCATATAATTTTTTGATTTTCCAGGCTTCAAGATCTCATTGAAACGCGAATCAGCCAGATATTTTGGACTAAAAATTTTAGTATAACTAACACTAAACTAAAATACCGGAGCAAACACAGCATACATACCTGCGTAAGATTTCGATCTCGCGAACGAAATCTTGGTGGCTCGATCTGATATCACGTGCCTAACAATCTCCACCGTCCTGATCGGAGGAACGATCTGATTACGGGCAACATCTGTGCATCCTCTCCTTCAGATGGATGCCATTGATTATCTCCTTTCTCAGGAAGCCCCAACGGTGCATGCAAATGGCATCCCCGCATCACCAACATGTCGGCCACATGCCAGCCACACGGCGTTGACGGGGAATCTGTTTCTCTTTTCCGTACCACCAACCACATGGGTACTACCTCTACGGATGAGATGCAAAATGTTGTGTGAGAAGTTGCTAAAAATGCATCACCATCATTGCCGTGCTTTTCGTATTGACATGCATAATCTCGATGTTTCCGTCCTCAATCTAGTTAGGCTGATTATCAGACCGAACAACTATTTATTACATGCGTGGTTAGGTGCGAGGAGGGAAAAAGGTCGTGGTCATCTTAACGTTTATTTAAGCTAGCAGAATGCCCGCCGTTGTTGAATGGAGCTGACCTGGATGATTTCTGCACATGCCAATTCCTTGGTTCTATCTATCATTGATATTGCAGCTTGGAACCATGATCAACCCGTGATTCTTTTTCGGTATCATCTTTTACAACCAGCTTCGGTGGGATCTGAAAGATAGTCCACACAACGCTACTTCAGCGAGACGCCGTGCTATTCCTGGGCTCATGTCATTGGTAGCTGTGCTGGATACTAGCAAGGGACTGCTATGCACCGAACGCAATATGCATATTTGTTGCTTTTCATAACAAGATTTCCTGTTAGTCCTTGGATTGCGGCCATAGAGTTAACAATGGAAGTGTTGAAGTAGGAGGACAATGTAACATTTGCGGGTAGTATTCAAGAATGCGAGCATAAAAAGGTTACTACCACTATATGGATTCGAAAGCGAGCAAGAAGGGTTGGAGGGCACTGTTTTAAGTACGTTCGCTTTTCTTAATTTTTTTTCAAAAAAAAAAAAAAAAAAAAAAAAAAAAAGGCCGCACCAGGTTCGACTTCCATGTGCGAAGGGAGATCGTAATGGTGGTCAATCGGATACCTGTCCATGGTCACCTATGTCCGCCTGAAATATAGTAAGCTTCTCCTGCGTAGAATAGTACTTAATTGAGATCCGCAGCTATTTTCTATGATGCCTGTGCATGGCCCAATGAATCCATACAAACATCTCCGAGTTGATGCTGCTAGAAATTCTTCTTTAAGTCAGTGTTGAACCTTCACTGAAATTACAATTTGTAAGGAACATGTCCCTATTCTCCATGTCATATCTGCAACAAAAAATAAATCACACCCTCCATTCAAATGCCGTTACCATCAACATTGTAGGCAAACACATGAGGAGAGGGAAGAACTCATGTACATGGACTGTACTCCGCACAATCAACTTCACATTCCCCAGCTTCTCCGGAAGAAATCGCATCTGAGTCGAACATGGCTGGGGTGATGAGAATTCTTCCCTTCTTCTGATAGCAGGAGTACCTAAGATAACTAGGCCATGCCCCCCAGACTTCAAGAGCGAGAGATACATACAGCTCGGGCGTCAAAATAGACTCCGAAAAATTAAACTCCTTGAACCCTGCCGAGCGCGGACAGTTAAGCTTTTGCGCAGACATGGATACAGTCGGTTGGTTACCTCAAAAGATATTTTGAAACTCCCTGCGACATGTTTTGCACGACATTGCTTGCGATTTGATTTGCTGCAACGTCTGGCATTTTTAAACGTTTTCTTCAACCTCCAATCGCTTAGTCCTAGTCCAGACAATATCGAATTCCAAACACACTAGTCTTATCAGGCCTAGCTTGTACCACATGCCTTTTCATTGCAGGGAAGATCTTGAGCTAACTGGTCACGAAGATAGAATAATCATGCAATTGATCATTTCAACCCTCTCACAATGGTATCCCAAAGGAGATGGCGGTATAAGGTTATCGCTGCTTGTTTCATTTTGTTATGTTACCTCTACTACATCAGTTTGCCAGAGTCCCCAGCAACCTTTTTAAATATAATAACCGAGCCACTTGCCGAGGAGCCATGGACACAATCCTGCTATGATCCGTCTCCAACATACAAGCCGCCTAAAAACAACCGATTTAAATGGAGAAAACTCCGCATCAAGCATCCTGTCACTTCTTTTATTGAGCTGCCAACTGCAGCGCCATCTCCACTGCCCTCAATCCAACATGCATTTGAAGTGCACTCGGGTGAGAGCGCTACATTGCAAGCCCAGCGCCAAGCTGAAGTGAAAAAGGTGTTCCAGAGGGACTGGAACTCCTACAAAAAGATGGCATGGCTCAATGATGAACTCTCCCCCAAATCTGGAAAACCTAAAAACACTTTTGGCGGCTGGGGGGCGACCCTCGTTGACAGTCTGGATACGCTCTGGATCATGGGCTTGAAAGACGAGTTCGAGGAGGCCGTTGCTGCGGCGGCTTCCATCGATTTTAGTCCAGATAGTACGAGTGACGGGATCATCAATATGTTTGAAACAACTATACGATATCTCGGCGGACTTCTCTCTGCCTATGATTTGACAGAATGCAAAGATAGACGATTGCTCGATAAAGCTGTCGAGATCGGGGATATGATATATGCTTCTTTTGACACGAAAAATAGAATGCCCGTAACGCGCTGGAGCCCGTATAAAGCAATGAAGGGGATTAACCAATACCCTGCCGAGAGAGGCATCATCGCTGAAGTCGCATCGTCGAGCATGGAGCTCACTCGACTCTCCCAGTTAACTGGAGACATGCGCTGGTTCGACGCGATCCAGCGTATCACCAATGTCCTGGATGAGCAGCAAAACAAAACATATCTTCCCGGCCTCTGGCCTGTGGGCTGCAGCCCTCTTTCTGGCGAGTTCGCAGGCGACTCAACTTTCACTCTTGGATCCATGGCCGACTCAGCGTATGAATATCTGCCAAAGATGTATGCCTTGCTTGGTGGAACGGATGCCGCATCTCAGTATGCAAGGCTGTACAGTCACGCCATGAACACCGCGATGGAGTACCTTTTTTTCCGGCCGTTGGTTCCGGATAATGCCGACATTCTTGTCTCTGGCCAGACGCGTGCTCAAAGACCTTCATCCGCCTCTCTCGAGACAGAAGGCCAGCACCTCACCTGCTACCTCGGAGGCACACTTGCACTGGGAGGCCGTCTGCTGTCCAACAAAACTCACGTCGAAGTAGGCCGCAAACTTACAGACGGCTGTATCTGGACTTACCGCAACACCCCAACAGGTCTAATGCCTGAGCTGTTCAGAATGCAGGCGTGCAGCTCACCCTCAAGCTGCGAGCTTGACAATCAGCAGTGGGAATCTGACCATGGCCAAAGACACCCTGGTTTCACACACATCACGGATGGCAATTACAGACTCCGCCCCGAAGCAATTGAGAGCATCTTCTACCTCTATCGCATTACGGGTGACCCGAAACTTCAGGACGTGGCCTGGGAGATGTTTCAGGCCGTTGAGAAGCACACGCGTACAGATCTGGCGCACGCTGTATTGAAGGACGTCATGGATCCAGACCTGGGAACAGAGGATAGCATGGAGAGCTTCTGGTTTGGGGAAACGCTGAAATATTTCTATTTGATCTTCAGCGATCCGAGCTTGATCAGTCTGGACGAGTTTGTTTTTAACACAGAGGCGCACCCTTTTAGGATTCCCAAGCCATGATTGGAGCGCGCCTTGCGTAAATGTATATAGATATAAATTTCCGTCTTTGTTCAAATATATATAGAGGGGCAATGGGTATATAAATAAGGATGTGACGGTGAGAGTTGGTAGCGACTGAATCCTTTCGGACGAAAGGCCGGAAGCACAGACATCCCATGTTTTGGATATTTGGGTTTACAAATCTATATCCATCGTGCTTTCGTTTTATATATTTATAAATATATATATGTATATATCTGTATAATTGCTGGCTATTAACCTCTTATTCTTTCCTTTGGCAGCAGATCTTCAATAGCTGATCTACGCTTGATAATATAATATATGTACTTGATGTAATGAGGTTAGAACTTGAATCATAGTTAAAGATAGATATCTATCTGTCCATGGCATCTTGGCAACAAGCTAAAACGGACAGCGCATTGCTTCCATGACCTGACAGTCTGCTGCTGGGTTTTATGATTGGCAATTGATACAGGCGCTTTTACCAAGTGAATTGTGCTCTACTTGCATGTGTATGCTTCTAGAGTGTATTGCATTTCTATGAGTATGCATGCTCGAAAATATAGCCTGTAAGGGTAGGGTATGGTTTTGATATATGGTGTATTATCTATGGATGATAAAATCCTGAGAAGTGAAATGGCTCTGCTTTTCATGAATATCAAATTCTGTCTAGGATGGATATTGCAAAGGCAGCGTGTGGCCGTATCAGTAGAAAGAATGAATAGAAAGTTAAGTATAACCAATTCAAGCGTAAGTACAACCTACACTCCATGTAGTCTGAGCGTAGAGTACATAGTAGCTACATTTAATATCCTTGCTGTTTGGATCTTATAGGGTATCCAGCTGCAATTTTTTGAATACAGTCATTCTTGCTGTTGAGTCCTTGAGGCCAATGAGGCAATGAGGTCAAGAGGGAGGCGCTGTTGATACGCATACCTGCTAGTATTCTGCATAGCCAATCCTGGGTGATCCACTCCACTTGCGGCCATCCAAGTGTGCGACTAGAGAGGGCTCAGAGAAAACACTGGTTCTGGAAGTACTCCAGCAAAATGCTCCACAGCTCATTTCTTGATTAGCTCTCACAAAGTGCTGTTGCATTATCGGCTTCTACGGCTCCTGGCAGGCCTTTGTTGTTTCATGTAGATAACCATACTTCACCGTGGCTCCCTGCCCGATTGGAAGCTGTATAATGCTTGGAGTTTCGCTGAGAGGGTGTGTTTTACTTCCCCATCTTTCCCCCGAAATTCGTTGGTTCAGGACATCGCTAGCATTTTAACTCTGCCGGAGACGAATGCAACTCTTACTCGGAGCTTAGTGGCCCGGTAGTTTGGTTCCACCACACTTTGGTACACTTTGTAGGCACGTTGAGCCAGTATTTCTCTGTTTGCTCGACACTCGAGCCATGAATAGTGATGATCCGGGCCAATCCGGGCCAATGATGTATTCTGGAGGTTGAAACCTCCAGGCCTAGTCATGGCTTATCTCGGACGAAAAGCAGCGTGGAAAAAGTATACATCAATAAAAATTGATTCTATCAAGAGATAAATGATATATCTAGTAGAATTAGTGGCAGATTAGTGGTAGATATAGTGGTTCTCTTATTGACTGGGTTAAAACAGCAAATTCTTCATGCAACGTTTGAGGCACTGAGATAAGTCGTGGCTGATAACCCTGCACATAAGTTACAAAGCTAGCATCACATGATACGTGCACTCACCCGACATCACTCGAAGGATTGCTCTGTTGAGTGATTTCCATGCTGTGTCACAGCGCAAGCAGCTATTTTCTAAGGCTGCTACGTATATCAGTGCTGATCTGACGCTACGTCCAAGTTACATTGCCCTCCCTTCTGAGTATGCAGGAAGATTTCAGCTGGATTTAAGCTTGTCTAACTAGTCAACCGCATGGCGACACGCTAAATGAGCTTATCTCCACCATCCCTGACCGAATGGTGCATCATGTATGCAACCAAATGTGCCACAAGGACAGGCTTGCGAGGATTTGGATCGCCCACAACAACAGGACCCTACGCGTGTGTGGAAGCGGCGGGAAACCTCTTCAGAGTATGGTTCGACCCATTAATACCTTGGTTGATGAAACAGGTTGCCATGTTCCCCACTCTGCTATTCGCCATGGGGGAACCCCATGGGGTGATTAAGCTAAAGAAATCCCCATTGGTATTTATCTATATAAGGCGGGGCTACCCAGACGCCCAATACCTGTTTTTGCCTTCTTCGAACAACGTGACCAACATGATGGACGAAAAGAAGCCCCTGGCTGAACTAGAGGGCGTTGGGTCCCTGCCAGACTTCAGCCATGTCGATGAGAAGAAGATTTTGCGCAAAATGGATCTGCGCCTAATTCCAATCATGTCGCTCCTCTATTTACTTGCTTTCCTTGACCGGGGGAATATTGGGAATGCAAGGATAGAGGGATTGGAGGCGGATCTTAGGCTGACGGGTTCTCAGTACAATTGGTGTTGTAAGTTTACTCCTTCTGTTCGTTTGTGTGTGCGTGTTTGATTTGAAACTTGAATCTAAGCATAATGTTTTCTCATTATCAGTGACCGTTTTCTTTTTCCCCTATGCTTTCTTTGAGCTTCCTTCAAATCTCATTCTGGCCAGGATGAGGCCATCGATATGGCTTCCTTTAATTATGATTGCGTGGGGACTGGTAATGGTTAGTCTAATTGGCCATTTGGACGCCTGATCTCTCCCGATCTGTCTCAGGCGTGTTTGCTCGTCGTGTGTGTTATGTGTCTTAATCCCGTTTGATAGACCTTGATGGGAATCGTTCAGAATTATCACGGCCTTTTAATCTCTCGAATATTTCTTGGTCTTGCTGGTACGGTGAACCTCTCCCTTCGCCTTCTTTTCTTCTACTTTTTCCATGCTAAGCCGTATCGTAATCATAGAAGCCGGTCTTTACCCGGGCGTAGCGTTCTACATTACTAAATGGTATTGTCGACATGAAGCTCAACTCCGACAAGCTTTATTCTTCAGCGCGGCTAGTGTAGCTGGTGCGTTCTCCGGTTTGCTCGCCTTCGCAATTGCAGTAAGTTCACTAAGTCTCTATGCTCATTTAGTCAGCCGTCTATTTTGCTAAATTAAATGAAGAGAATGGACGGTATTGGCGGATTGGACGGCTGGAGGTGGATTTTCGTCCTAGAAGGCATCCTCACAGTAGTCGTCGCTGTTCTGGCCTTCTTTTTCATCCAAGACTATCCGGACACCGCAACATTCTTAACAGAGGAGGAAAAAGCCTGGGTTATCCACAGGTTGAGATCTCAGTATTCCGATACCGCCGTAAAAACGGAAAAGTTCCAATGGAAATACGTCAAATATGCATTGATGGATTGGCAAATTTACCTATCCCTAATCAGTATTGCTGCCCAGTTCCCCTTTGTGTCTCTGTTTAGCTTTCAAGTCTCTAACTAATTAACCCCAATTAGCCTGGTACGGGATTGTATGCCCACTCTACGGCATTTCCTTCTTCCTACCGACAATCATTAAAGACCTGGGTTATACTTCTTCGACGTCTCAGCTTTTGACGGTAGACTCCTTTGTTATCGAGATGCCTTATCGTCTTCAATGAAAAATCTAATGTTAATTATGTTAGGTTCCTATATATATTTTCGCTGCAATAATTTCAGTTTTATCCGCTTGGCTGTCAGATCGACAAGGGCAACGCTCACCTTTACTTTTCTTCCATGTTCTATCCATTGTTGTTGGTTATGCCATCATCATCTCAGGTTCAGCGAGAGGCGTTCCAGGTGTTGTCTATTTTGGGACATTTGTGGTCGTATCTGGTGAGTTTTATAGATTCCAAAGCATCTTCCTCTCTTTTCAAGGCGATTATGTGGGTGAGTTGTTAATTGCGATGATGTTTCAGGTATATATCCTGCTCTTCCGGCTATTGTTACATGGCTGAGCAACAATATGGCCGGTGACTATAAGCGAGCGGCCGGAATGGCGATACAAATTGGAGTTGGGAATTTTGCTGGAGGTACGTAGCACACGATAATGAGAAAAGGAAAAGAGAGACAGAAAAGCATGAAACGTACATCCGCACAAATCTCTTAACTGAATTTTCTTTCCCAATCTAGCCATGGCTTCGAGCCTCTACCGAACCCAAGACGCACCGACATACTATCTCGGCCACGGCCTAGAACTCGGGTTGGCCTTTTTCGGCCTACTCGCTATCATCGGCCTCCGAGTTTCCTACCAGATCGTCAATAAGAAGAGGGAAGCACAGGCCCTTGAGGCCAAATATACACCCGACCAACTCCACCAACTGGGTGATCGGGCGCCAACCTTCAAGTATATGTTATAGGGAAGGAGTCGTTGTTTTTCCATGTTCGTCTCCTTCTTCTCCCTTTTTTCCCCGTCTTTGCTCAATTATGCCCTACCTCCAAAGTCACAGAAATGGTAATGTGCATGTACATATATATGTACGATGTCGAATTCTGGAGGGAGGTGTTTGTGAAGGCCTAAGGTACTTTTGTATATCCACAATGATAATAAGACATGATACCACAATGAGAGAGCATTGGCCTATATTCCATTTCCAAAGGAAATAACATTAACTAACACGGGCTACTTTGTGTCCTGTTGATACAATTTTGGTAATTGTTGGATATTATTGCAATATTGTTACCCCACGGTTAAAAATGACAGTGGAAAACGCTGCCTGCAAAATCGCGCGCTGGGCTGGGACAAGAAACAAAATACATATTCACACCAGTCAGTCCTGCTAGAGGTGGTTTTTAACTCTCTCAAAGGAGCTATATATAGACAAAAATGGCACACTGGGAAGAAGAATAGGCGCAGTTGGGCTAGTGGAAATACATAATGGTATCTAAAGTGTTATTGGTCGTTTTTCATCGCAATTTGGTAATTAGTATATGGGAATGCAAGCGGGAACTTATACATAATTCCGAATGACCATTTCGTCCGCCTCCTGAAATGTCCTTTTTTTCTTGTCGAGGTTAGCTAGAGACACTATTCGACCATTGTTAAACCTTGTAGTGAATATCAGCTTTCTGCAACCGGGCCTGAAGAGCGATACACAGTCTGCAGGCAGGCTTACAACCCATGCAATGAAGGGATCCAATCACACCGCGACCGGTCTTCTTTAGCTTTTGGCTCAACTAGAGCCAGATACATCAGAATTGGTTCCTCCACGGGCTCACACGGAAGCAATGTCCAAGTCATGATCGGTTTTGACAGCCAATTGCTGTCACTGGGCCCGGGAATGGCGTTTTTCTTCTGGAAAACGGAATTATCCGGGGCCACCGCGCTACCAACAACCAATTACGGTTGTTCAGAGTGCTGTTTCATTTCTTAAAAAGGGGGCATGGATTTTGACTGTGCTGTCTTGTCTCCTCTACCTGTCCAAATTGACTCGCAATCACCTGGTCTTACAATTTTCCAGCGGCATAACCGTGCAAGTGTCCAGGGCTCGTTATGGTGCGAGCTTTATTCGCCGCCCAGCAATTAGGTGGTATAAAGTTCGATGATTCCATCTTCGGTTTATTAATTCCAGCAAAATAATGGAGCAAAGTTCGAGGTCCCCACTCAGGGTTGGCGAGTAGTGCTCCTTGATGAGGATAGGCCCCGGTGGGTCCTTAGTCTTCAGAATATGACTCGTCTGGTTGCAACAATGTCAAAATTCGAAAGAACAAGGATTTGGTGGGCAATTGATGCAAAAATATTTTTTGTTTGTCAAGAAACAACAACGTGATGAGCTGATACTCTTGCAGGCGGATTTCGAAGCGCGAGTGCGGGTGGCATGAGAAGTCGAAGCTGCCCTGTCTTTAGTCGTCCATACTAATAATATCCACATTGTGGCTATTCATCTTCTCGAGGAAGGCTATCATGGCATCCCACGTTTCTGCCGATTGAGAACGTCAATCCACTAAACGCCTTGGCAACTAGATGTTGAGAGATGCAACGCTGTTATTCATCCTGGACGCGGGGTGACTGGCTACTCACTACCTAACGTTTATACGTATGGGGTACGATCCACCGTGATCAACATTATTATTCCCCTGGAAAGATGCAATCCCGGGGCCCAGACCGGATTTTTCCCAAGATTCAGAGCAAATGCGCTGGATGTTTTCGGGAAAGGGAAGACGTTCGTAAAAAAACCACCTACCTCCGATCACCAATCGACATGTGAGCCCCAAGTGAGCTGAAAGTTGAACAAAGTTGAAGCAAGCGGGGCGGTGGGCCATTTCAGAACTTTAAACCAATGGTCTGCGAATAAATACTTCTATTCCAAATCAAGATAGCTTCAAAACCTACTTGGAACGTTAATTTAAAGGGTTGAGATCCCTGGCCGGCAGGAGATAATCGGTGGTAATCACTTGGCCAACATCCATCCAGTCAGACCCCTATCATCGACTATTAATAGTGACCGTCCTTCGGTTGTTGGACGCGGCGCTCAGTACCGCCACTAGGGAAAGGTTTTGTCATGCTTTAGTGACTGGCTAGCAACGGCATGGTGGCTGGCAGTCTAACAAATTTCTGCGTCCTCCCCGAGCCTTATATCTAGTCCCTGACGGCTCAAGCACGGCATCATTTCAAGCGGCTGCACCACCAGGTCTTCATCCTGTTCATCTAATAACGGACAGCTGAACGCTGATTTGTTCAGTGTGGGAACGTAACTATTGTTGCAGCCATATTCAACCTACCTTATCCAGCAGTGCTGATGTATCAGAGTCTTAACCTCCACGACGGGGTGGAGAAGATGTCACAAACAAATGACGGTCGGCGTTCATCGGAGTGTAAAGCCCTAATCAACATGAGGGATTCATCGATGCTGAGACAATGCGACTGGGGAGGTGCCCGATGATCTGCTGCCCCGGTGATGTACCTGCGGGCTTTGAGAAATACTGAAGGTTTTCGTGGTCGGACAACCGGCCTGGTTTCATGTTCAACCGCTGCCCCCCTTGTCGAACGGGATCTCTGATTTTTCGGCCCTACGGCCCCCAGCAAATAATTATATAAAGTAGGAATGGCGAACGGTAGTATGACAAGCCTTAATATCCTCCCTGGTCACATTGGTTAGCTGTGGACCCTGCTGGATGCCCTGAGGACTGCAGGGGCTTGCATCCAGCAAGGGCCAACAAAAACAAACTTAAGATGAGAAATAAAAAATAAATAAAGTAAATAAATAAATAAATAAACAAAGAAAGAAAGAAATTAGAAATAAACAAAAACAAAAATAAAGCAAAAATAAAAATAAATAAAAATAAAATGAACATCGAAATCTAAAGAAAGTTAAATGATATCATACGGCCGTATGGGATCAACTTTAAGCCATGTTGGTTTGCCCCCGTAAAACGAGGTTGGACCCTCATCCAAGATATGATTGACATCAGGTCGCGAAGAGACGGCAAGACATGCTGCGTAGGGCTGCCGGGAATTTGAGGGGTGCTGATATCGAATCCTCGAGCTCGACGCATAATCTGACCGTCTACTCTGTACGCCGGTCTACAGCTTAAATCACTAAGACTGGCGATCCTGGAAAGAAGATACTAGCACCTCCTGTTGTCTTGGACTAGCTGTCAACTAACGCCTATTACTCTTCTCTTCCCTCATGGAGTGCCAACTAAACATGCGCCTGATGCTGTTGAAGAAAATGCTACTCCTGGTTGAAATGAAGGCTTCCTGGGCGGATAGCTTCCTGTATGATTCGGCATATCAACCACGAGGCTAATGAAACGTTCCATTCGCCAGAACGGACTTACGCAGCGTAGGTGAATTATTGCGGGCGAAGGGGCTAAGCCCTGGGCTGAAGAGTCTAATGCTAACTCAATAGCGTGGGACTGGGCATCTAGTCTCGATCGAGGGACCCGAGTTGGAGGACATCATCTAACTAACAGCTTCTATTCTGTACTGATTGATATATTTGACTGATTGCCCTCCTGCTTCCCTTCGGCATCGCCAAAGTATAACTCCCGGAAGAACCTCAAGCTCTATTCATTTTGACACCTGCCGGTTTGGCTGTGTGTGACTTCTTACGTTGCGACTCCCGTCTGGAAGCTTCTCTTTTTGCGCTCAATCAGAGCTCTCATCGGGTGCCTGTTTTAGGGACTCGGACCCTTTACTGTGTGGTAACTACGCAAAACTCTTCAATATTGCTCTCCCGTTGGGGAGTGGCTGCAGAAATGGACTTTACCTACTATACCCCGCCGTTTCAACAGCAATACATGCCACTTCAAATACCACATCCGCAGCAAACCGAAGTTGTTCAGCATACCCAATTTCAACCCAGACCCGGGGTGGTAAGTCAACCTCCACATGCACCTCCATAACGTGGTCTCGGCACCCGTCCGTTGTGCACTTGCTAACACGGAGGCTAGGAGCATTTTGATCCTGGTTTCCAACCATTTTTTGATACCCAGATGCATTTTGACGCTTGCGGTCTCATGGGAGCGCATTCATCGCCTTCTCCAGGTCACTATGCGAAACATGTAATTGATTCCCAAGTTAGTGATTGTGGTGGCATCAGTAGCAATAGAATTGAAGACTTTCAAACGGACAAAACTTTACCAAGGAGCAGCAGTGAAGAAAAGGAGACGTTGACGCCGGCCCAATGCAGGCGCAAGGAACAGAACAGAGCTGCGTATATAATCCATTTTTCTAATATCTAGTCATACATCAACTTGTTTATACTGGGTCCTGTTGCATTATATATAAATCAATACTAACTTCAACTTGGCAACAGCCAACGGGCCTTTCGCGAGCGGAAAGAACGCCGCGTACGTGACCTTGAACAGGAATTGAATCGATACAAGAGCAACTATTCGTCACTCATGGAAGATCACAAAAGCCTAAAAAGACAAATAGAAAAGATTGATACGGAGAATGAAATGCTTCGAGCAACATCGAACAACAACGCGCAGCGATCGATCGCCGATTATGGGCCCAATGAAGTGCCCCCTCCAACAGGCTTCTTGAGAAATTTAGCGGAGTATTCTACATGCGGCGCAGATAAGGGCGAGCTTGCCCATAGCCCTTCTAGTAGTAACAAGGGCCCGGGAGAGAAATTGCTAGATGCAGCCGCGACGTGGGATCTGATCGTGCGTCATTTGACAAGTCGGGGGATGAATTTCGATATCCAGACCATATACGACAGGTTGAAAAGCTGCACCGTACTTGACGGACATTGTCTCGTTGTCGATGAAGCACATGTGCTTCAGGCTATTGAGGAGAGTGTTTCGGCAGGAAGTGATGAGCTGATCTAAATTTGACCTACTGCCATGCCCACAAACACTTGCTCTGAGTTTGCTTTGGAGCCTCATCAAGAAAAATCGGTCCAAAAATCCTAGATTCTTCTCGGATTGGGCTCCTCGAAGTCAAGTATTACGGCGACTTTTCGTATTTACCCAATATTCGTTGGAGCAATTTTTCTGGAATCCCAAATCATGGCCTACGCAGAATCTCATACCCATGCCAGTGAAGTTTCGAACAATTGTCTACCCAATTTATCTTTAGCAAGTGGAGATATTTCCTGGCAGTATATAACTTCCAACTTCAGTTTATTTTCTTGGGTTTTAGTCGCTTTAGCCTGGAGTTCGACCCATTGCATACCTTTTCTTTTTTTTTTTCTACGTATATTACCTGTTTTAGCTTGGCATTTTACATGAATAAGAGCGTGCGTTTGATTGGAATCTATCTATGCGTCCCCCACATATGTCAATATCAGTAATGGCACGTAGAGCGACTTTTGAGTCTTCTACTTTTGCATTTCTTGAATACAACAAACCTTCCATCAACAGCCACACAAAATTTGAGAAAAGGATACAAGAAACATGGGCCTTTCAAGTTTTGCATGAATGGTGTACGGCTCTTTTCACTGATTTTATAATGGTATAGATAAACGTTAAATGCTTTACAGAGTTGACTTGATGAAATGGACTTGGACATTTCTCTCCATTTATTCACTGGACAGTTACTGACGGGCTATCTTTTTGCATGCATAATATGGTACGGCAGAATAGCGCATCACCTCATTAAGACTCATGATTTCCGGCTAAAAATTATAATTTTAGAGCCGCACACAGGGCTAATAGTGAGAAGAGTCAAGAGCAGCGCAAAAATTGGGCATTCCCCTGCCTGAGTATTTCGAAGATGGACGGCAAACCAAGAGAAAGCCCTTTCCTGAGACGGAACTGGGAGAGAGCGAATAACACCCCGCCTATTTCCGTCATGGTTTATTCTTCTTATTGATTTCAATCCCAATCATCAAGATATTCGTCATCGCTATCAGCTGGTTTGGGAGTGGGATCCTGCCTCAAACGGCTGTCATTTTCATTGATAGCTCCTAAAGAGACAAGGAGCTTTTCAAGATCTACAGGTGAGCAGGTTACCCGTCAGCATTTATCCATCTTAGACATCGAAGTCATTACGGGGAGACCAAAATATAGACTGTTTACCTTCAAGGGTAGTTTTTGGCCCTCTAAGTTCCTTAAGAGTGACTAATTGCCTTTTGATGTCTCCATCCTTATAGGCAAGTATTGTCGGGGTATTCCGGTCTGGATAGCCCTCTATACACATATCTGCGCGTATCTCGCAGAACTTTATGTCTCCGTATTTCATCGCTAGCTGGCGCCACAGCTCAGTGAGAAGTTGCGACTCAATGTTATTAACGCTCGAGGAGGTGAGGTTGACTAGAACGAAATATTTCGACGATGCCTCTGTGACATCTTTTGCGTAATCAGGTTTCTGGAGAGGGTAGACTTGGTTGTGGATACTTGTTTTTTGGAGGAGAGACATCTCTTCAAAGCGCTGCTTGCTGAATTAACTATCCCTTAGCCACGATGCTAGTGGGTGTTACACCAATATGTCTATCTATCTCTATGTCTGGATCAAAACATTTTCGGTGGGCGTGAGGGTTTGCGAACCGGTATTTTGCAAGGAACTCGGCTTCTTCCTCATCTTCTAGCGCATCAAGCTCATCTAAAGTCTTATTCTCGAGTCGATTTTCATGTTCTCGTTGTGCGGCTTCCAGGAGCGCTTCTTCTATAATCGGCGTGGGAGAAGGGGGTTTCTCAGGAATTATACCATGTTTACGGAGGATATCATTCCTGTAAATAGTTAGCAAGTTATAGAGCGGTAGAGAAAGATAATTCAGACCATTCCGTGTCGGCATTAGGGTTATCAACGGGAACATTAACTGGCATATCCATGTTGTCTATAACTGAATTAATGTGATGTTGTTTTTTCTAGCGCAAGGCAATGAAATAGTCAACGATGTGCATGTATCAGATGTTTGCACTGTTTGCTCAGCCACTGTGGCTGAAATGTCCCACACAGGCCAAAGCCAGAGGCAACGTGTATCCGAATGTATATCTGAACTCCTACCAACACGCCGCGATTTGCTCTCTCCAATCTCGTGCTAGCGGACCACCGCAGTTACTCATTGCTGTCTACTTTTTTGGCAAATTATGAAGGCTCAATAGTCAACTCCGCTCATTGCACTGATCACCTTCTCCACTCCTGTTGCCCGACCCGGCGTCAGCTCCTGATACTTCTGGTTCCGGGAATTATTGTCCACACCCCAGTCGACCCGCTGCATTGCAAAGATGAGCTACGTTAAGAAAGATGAAGATGCTGATCAAATAATGATGAAGTTGGATAGGACTTCTGTTTTCCAAGATGGTGGGTGACAGTGCGCGGAACTGGCTTCGGTACGAGCGACTAGAACTTACAGCTGACATTGGGACAGCACGATTATTCAATTCCTCGCCTATATCACCGCGAAAATGTCGGACACTACTTACCAAAATCGCCGTCTTGCTCTTCACCGGGGAGAAGTTCCCGACGAACGAGGCTACGACGTTGTTCTTTGGCATCTCGAAACTTTTCCAGAACAAGGATCCTTCGCTGCGACAAATGGTATATCTGATCTTGAAGGAGTTGGCCGGCACGGCAGATGATGTTATCATGTCTACTTCCATAATTATGAAGGATACTTCCGTTGGAAGCGACGTCCTCTACCGGGCTAATGCTATTCGAGCATTGTGCCGCATTATAGATGTACGATCCGCCTTTTATCTGAATGTTGGAATTTTCGGTTGTATACTAATTATCGAAAGGCTACAACGGTTCAAGCGATTGAGCGTCTGATAAAAACCGCAATTGTCGACAAAACTCCTTCAGTCTCGTCAGCCGCTCTTGTTTCCTCCTATCATCTCCTCCCCGTCGCTCGCGACGTTGTTCGAAGATGGCAGAGCGAAGCCCAGGAGGCTGCTTCATCAAGCAAACAGTCCACCAGTTTCCTTGGTTTCACGAGTGGACAAGCACACCCTATCTCACAAACGAACTATATGACCCAATATCACGCAATTGGTCTTCTTTATCAGATGCGTGCTCATGACAGAATGGCTTTGGTAAAGATGGTTCAACAGTATGGTGCAGCGGGCGCGGTCAAGAGCCCTGGTGCACTTGTGTTGCTTGTCAGGTTGGCTGCTCAATTGGCAGATGAGGACCAGAGCCTTCGAAAGCCGATGATGCAAATGCTCGACGGTTGGCTTCGCCATAAGCATGAGATGGTCAATTTCGAGGCTGCCCGAGCAATCTGCCAAATGAGGGATGTCACAGATGCGGAAGCGTCCCAAGCGGTTCATGTCCTCCAACTCTTTCTTTCGTCTCCTCGCCCCATCACCAAGTTTGCTGCCATCAGGACTTTGCACAGTTTGGCATCCTTCAAGCCCAACGTTGTCAACCCATGCAACCAAGATATTGAAGCCTTGATATCCAACAGTAATCGATCCATTGCAACGTTTGCAATTACGACGCTCCTTAAAACTGGCAATGAAGCTAGCGTTGACCGTCTGATGACCCAGATTTCTGGATTTATGGCTGATACTACCGACGAATTCAAAATCACAATCGTTGAGGCTATCAGAACACTCTGTCTTAAGTTCCCACACAAGCAAGCTGGCATGCTTGCGTTCCTCAGCGGCATACTCAGGGATGAAGGCGGCTATGAATTTAAAAGAAGTGTAGTCGAGAGCATGTTTGACCTTATCAAATTTGTCCCTGGAAGCAAAGAAGATGGTAAGTAACTCTCACTTGCCTATTATAGTTGTTCTATAAACTGAAGTTGTCTAGCTCTCGCACATCTCTGTGAATTCATTGAAGATTGCGAATTCACCAAGCTCGCAGTCAGGATATTACATCTCCTAGGTGTTGAGGGACCCAAGACTTCACAACCGACGAAGTATATCCGGTATATCTATAATAGGGTCGTTTTGGAAAATGCGGTAATTCGTGCTGCTGCAGTGACGGCATTGGCCAAATTTGGTGTTGGCCAAAAGGACCCAGAGCTTAAGAGAAGTGTAAACGTTCTATTGGCCCGATGCTTGGATGACACTGATGACGAAGTCCGTGATCGTGCGGCTCTTAACCTACGACTGATGAAAGAGGAGGATGAACTGGCGGAACGATTTATTAAAACCGGTAAGGATCCCTTGTGCGCGATATTTTAGATGGATAGCCCTAAACTAATGCCTCTTAGATTCGATGTTTTCTTTGTCTACATTTGAACATCAACTCGTCATGTATGTTACTGCAACAGATAAGGAAACTTTTGCGGCAGCGTTCGACCTCAACACCATTCCAGTTGTATCACAAGAGCAAGCCCTTGCTGAAGAGCGAACCAAGAAGCTTACGACTGCGACACCAACTCTCAAGGCCCCATCTATGACTCCATCGAAGGCAAAATCAACCGCTGGGGTCGATGGAGTTGCTGCTGCTGCTGCTTCGACCCAAAAATACGCAGAACAACTTGTCCAAATACCGGAGCTCAAGGCTTACGGAACACTGCTCAAATCATCTACTCCTGTTGAACTAACCGAAAGTGAGACGGAGTATGTCGTCAGCGCTGTTAAACATATCTTTAAGGAACATATTGTCTTGCAATATGATATCAAAAACACGTAGTGCATCTGAGGTACTTGAAAACCACGAACCACTAAGCGAATCCAATTCTTCGATTTAGGCGACCAAATACCCTCACCGTGCCAGCGCCGAAACTTATGACAAATGAACCCGGAATAGTTTATGTTGCTTTTAAGAAACTTGGAGGAGAACATAATTTCCCTGTAACGTCATTTACGAACAACCTGAAGTTCACTAGCAAAGAAATCGATCCTACTACTGGCGATCCGGAAGAGACTGGCTACGAGGATGAATATCAAGTTGAAGATTTAGATCTAATTGGTAGTGACTATGTCATTCCTGCCTTTGCTGGAAGCTTCGATCACGTCTGGGAACAAACTGGTGCGAACGGTGAAGAAGCTAGCGAAACACTCCAACTTTCCAACGTGAAAGGTATTGAAGGTAAGCTACCCATCCTCAAAATAGATGTATTTTTTACAATTTTTTGTACATTAGTTCACCCTCTCAGAGGCTTTCCTACTAACTGTTTGTTCCCTCTTACGCACAGATGCAACCGAGCAACTTGTTGCAACACTATCACTTCAACCACTCGAGGGCACAGACGTGGTCCTCAACAATACGACACATGCACTTAAATTGTACGGCAAGACTGTTTCTGGCGGTAGAGTGGCAGCCTTGGTGAGAATGGCATATTCGGCCAAATCCGGTGTGACGACCAAAGTAACTGTTCGTGCCGAAGAAGAAGGCGTTGCTGCGACAGTCGTCGCATCTGTTGCCTGATTCAAACCCAATCATCTTTGATACCTTTGAAAATTGCGCCTATCGACTTTTGGTAGATAATTCATACCCGTTTGCTACTCCTCCCCCCCCCCCCCCCCCCTTCCGCCCCCCTTCCACTTCTTCTTCTCTACCTGTCAGCTCTCTGACGCATACATTTCTCTCGATGGGAGGTTCCCAGCGCTTTTAAATGTGATGCGTGGTGTTCGTGGAAGAAACCCTACATATATCGTTGCCTTCCATGCTCGTAACATGTCTTCTGTAGATTGAGAGCAATCTCTTTCTTCTCCCACCATATCTTTCTCGTCAACTACATGTTTCCTGTTTGCGTGTTCCCGTTTTTTCCTTGCCTTTATATTTGATATTCTCTTTTTTAAACAGTAATCACGGGCTTTCTCAAGGCTAGAACAACCACATCACACTAGTTTCAAAAATTTAAGGTGAAGCTTTTATTTTCTGTCTATCCATTCCATGCATACCTACTTCTATAAAATATGATATCTAGAAGCTCGCCGAAAATCATTGGGTTCTTCATCGCGGTAATAGCTCACGAAATGCTATGAAATATGATATAAGCCAAGTTAAATATTCCAAAATCGCTGAGTCCATAAGTTTACACCGAAAGCCCAGTCCCGTATAAAACTATTAACCAAAATGATAAACTCCAACAGGGATATCTCCACTCTCAATCTCATCCCGAGAGTGACCTGCTCTCTGAGCGTTACGCCTCAACAACTCATCGAGTTCGTCATCAGACACGATCCTCAGCCTAGATGGATGAGATTCATGTAACCCAAGCAATCGAAGGTTCCTTAACCCCCCATCCAGCGCATGAAGAAAATCTTCCTTCGAAAAGTCTGGAAATCCCTGGGATTGCTCAAAGGCGAGGATCTCTAATGGTAGCGGCCAAGGCAACGAAGCGAGGGTATGGAAGAACGGCGGTTTGGCCAAATCCCCCTGGATCGAAAGGTAATGCAAGTTGGGAATAGAATGAAGTAGAAGCTCAGCATGCTGAGGCGTGTAATGCATTTCATATGGGATTCTCAAGCTTTTCAAGTGGGTGCGCAGATAGGAATTGTTCAGGACGGCTGGTATCAATGCTGGATCTTTGAGGGCTTTCCCTGCTAGCGTTAGGCTGGAGAGCTTCGGCGGCCAGTCGAATGTGAGAATTGTGGTACGATCAAGCGTTCCGCTGATTTCAAGCGTTCTGAGATTTGGTGGCCAGGACAGGTGACTTGCTACCGTAGTGATGTTTGTGCTCCTGGGTAAGCGCAGACGACGGAGATTATCCAGGTGTTGGAGAGCCTTCTTGATGGCTTCGAATTCGATTTTTCTGATTACGTGTAATAAATCTATGGAGCGAAGCTTTTTGCATTTGGAAAGAGTGACGAGGTTAATTGCCCTATAAATATGGATCAGTCTTGTATATTTGCCCAAGTAGATAGATATATAGCATATAATATCCCTCCACGAACAATACGCCAGCTGAAACGGCCAGAGTTTTAAACATATTTATGAGAAGACAGGCATCTTACGAAAAACCGCTTGCCGGCGCAATAAAAACCTCAACATTGTCTTTAACTCGTCCCAGATATCTTGTCGTCAAGCTAGTCGTGAGGTTGTGGACGAGTTTCGAGAAATCCAAACGGCGGACGAAACGCCCGAGGTCACCTCTTGGAGCATACGCCTGCACTGATGGGCAGACTGCTCGAGTGAAACCATCGAAATTCGCCCCAGTTATGTATGGCTTCTCATAGAGCAAAGGGAGAGCAGCTGAGTACCACAGTCGGGACACCAAGCAGCAGGAGTAGAGTGTATTCTGGCGAATGGGCTGCGGTTGCTCTCGCAAGTAGGAAAGGATGTGGATGATAATCTCTACCGGGATAAATAAAGGCATTTGGCTTCTATATTGAGACATTATGGGACGGAAATAAAAGTCAAGAAAATATATTAGTCACATATTCACCAGTTTCTGCCCGGCTATATCAGCATTGCCATCCTGGCTGCCACGCTGATAAATAACTACCGCAGGGACGATGACGTTTGAGTTTTCGGGTTGCCGTCAGCGGCTCAAAAATAAATCGTCCACGTCTCACAGAGAACAAAAGGTCGCCAACGCCTTGATTGCCATATTCAGGGCTCCCCAACCCGAAACAGTCCCGCCAACGGCATCCCTTTTTCTTATGCTTATCAATTGGCCCGTGGGACTGGGGTTACTGTTGTGATTTGATTGTGCCTGCGTTCCGTACTCGTAGCCGAAACTTTTGCCGTCCGCCGCCCACAGCCTGAACTAGCCATGCGCCTTTCCACCCTTCACCAACCACTCCGTCAATCGTTTTACGGCTGTCAGGCATCGTCAATTCGAAAGCAATTCAGCTCTTCCGTTTCATCTCAGCGTGTAACACCAAATTTTGGTTTTGCCTTTGAGTAAGCCATGCGCACGTTGTTTTTTTGTGTTAAATTGCAGGGTTAACATACATGACCAGTATAGATGGGGTTCTTCTCCGGTCATCGAGACCGCTCCCCGGAGCAGCTGAATCTCTCCAACTCCTTAAAAGGGAGAGAATCCCTTTCGTACTTGTAACAAATGGTGGAGGAATGCATGAGAAAGAGAGAATTGCGCAATTGAGCCAACGCCTCCATGTCGCTCTGGACACTGATATGATTATCCAAAGTCACACTCCTTTCGCAGATTTGGTAAAAGGCAATGAAGCGCAGGAAGCATTGCAGGACAAATGCGTTCTAGTCGTTGGTGGCGGAAATGGGAAGTGTCGCTCTGTCGCACAAGAGTATGCCATCCTTGCCTTCTCACTATCCTATTGTTTTCTCTTCAGGCATCTGCTAACAGCGTCATGTACAGGTATGGATTTAGGTCTGTCGTGACTCCTGGCGATATCTTCCAATCACACCCGGAGATTTGGCCTTTTTCTGATGCTTTCAGCGACTACTACGGACGGTTTGCAAGTCAGCTTCCGCGTCAAATAGACGCGGCCGATCCTTCAAAAAGCCTTAAGATTGATGCAATACTGGTATTTAATGACCCGAGAGATTGGGCTTTGGATATCCAAATCATCATCGATATACTGCTCTCATCCCAAGGTATCATTGGGACATATTCTTCTAAAAATAATAACCCAGACCTACCAAACCGGGGCTACCAGCAAGATGGCCAGCCGCCGTTGTATTTCTCCAACCCGGATCTTCTATGGGCTGCGCAATACCATCAGCCAAGGCTGGGTCAAGGAGCATTTAAAGCGTCCCTTGAAGGTGTGTGGGCAGCGATGACCGGGGGAGCCACATTAGCAAAGACGGTGATTGGGAAGCCTTGCGAACTAACATTTAGATTCGCTGAGAAGAGGTTGAACCAGGAAAGAGAGAAGTTGTTTCCCGCTGAGAACTTACGGCCTCTTGAGGTAGTGTACATGGTCGGTGACAACCCTGAGTCTGACATCCAAGGAGCCAATTCCTATAAGAGCCCCGTTGGGACCAAGTGGAATTCCATTCTCCTGAAAAGTGGTGTATACTCGGGTGGGACGCTAACCTGGCCGCCCAAGGTCATTGTCGAAGGCGTAAAGCAGGCCGTTGAATGGAGCTTAGCCCAGTCGCAGTGGCCTCGTAATTGAGAGTTATCCTGGCTTCGCGCACCTTATCCTGCTTTTTTCGCCTGTAATCTAGCATTTGTTTGGTTTTCTTTGTTTATGGTTCGGTGATAGATTATTCGTGCAAGAGCTATAGAGTTCTTAGATCTCATAAATATAGTATTCAAGACTCCATTTAAAGTCAATTTTGTTATCACAAACGAAATGTAAGAGATGTATCATCTGTGGATATTTTATGAAACTAAAATTTCAATATACTGCATGATCGAAGATTCCACTATCTAGTTAACCATTTGACCTTGCTATCGTCGAAAGGTAGTTTCGCTCACTAACCCCAGGTAGGGCTTAGGGCTGCTAAGTTTTTCCATTTGGTGGGGTTGGTAGAGGCACTCTGACTCCCCTCCTTCCGCACCGGAAAAAGGAGACCAACAGCCTCAGCTGCTTCCCTTAACTATACGCACCCCCAATTGTCAATTACCGCTGAAAGTCCTACTGAAGGAAATCATGGAGCAAAATCCTACGCTCCCTGTTCGTTCAAAAGACGACGGTGACGTGCCCGAGAATTCCCTTGGTTCTCAGCCCCCCGCTGGAGACCCCGCTCCTCCAAGCAAAAGTGCGCTCAAGAAAGCTGCTAAAGAAAGGGAAAAGGCAGAGAAAGCAGCTAAGCGTGCCGCTCAGGAACAAGCAGCTGCACAAGCCAGTCAGGCGGCGGACTTCTCGAAACACCTCTACGGACCCATCCCAGATTCCGCAGACAAGGTCCAAGTGTTGAACCTCCTGGACCTGTCGGAGGAACTCTGCGAAAAGGATGTCACAGTCGTTGCGCGTGTCGACAATGCCCGGGTACAGAGTGCAAAGCTGGCATTCCTGATGCTGCGACAACAGGGTAAAAAGATGCAGGCAGTGGTTAGTGCGAGCGACGAAATCTCGAGACCCATGGTGAAATGGATCGGAGGAATAAACGTGAATTCCATCGTTAAAGTTACTGCCATCGTTAAGAAAGCTGAAATACCAGTAACGTCGGCCACAGTAAAACACTTGGAACTGCATATTCGGAAAGTCTACATGGTTGCGCAAGCGTCACATATGCTTCCTATGCAAGTCAAGGACGCGGAACGACCCCCACCTGAATCCGTCACGGAAGAGGTTGAATCAGAAGCTCCATATGTCACGCTGAAAACTCGCTTGGATAACCGTGTACTTGACCTTCAGACGGAAGCCAGTCAGGCAATTACCTGGATTTCCAGCGGTGTTGCCCAACTGTTTATGGAATACATGTTGAAAAGTGGTTCACGATGGATCTCTACGCCGAAGCTCACTGCGAATGCGTCTGAAGGCGGCGCTGGAGTGTTCGAAGTGACATATTTTAAAAGGAAGGCGTATTTGGCGCAAAGTCCTCAGTTATATAAGCAAATGTGCATTGCGGGCGATATGGAGAGCGTTTTCGAAATTGGTCCCGTGTTTAGAGCTGAGGAAAGCAACACTCATAGACATTTAACAGAGGTGAGAGAGTAGTGATGGAGACTTTTGATCTGGGGTGGTATTGCCCGCAAAAGCTAACAGGTTCTATTGTTTACTAGTTTGTTGGACTCGATTTTGAGAAAACATTTCAGAGCCATTACCACGAAGTTTTAGAATTCGCCGAAGATCTCCTAGTCTTTATTTTGAGCGAGTTAAAGATACGATTCAAAAAGGAAATCGAGGTCATCCAGCGCTCGTATCCAAAAGCCGGTGATTTTAGACTCCCTAAAGATGGGAAGGCACTTAGGCTGAAGTACATGGAGGGGGTGGCTTTGTTAAAGGAAGCCGGAGTGGATGTCACTGAACAAGAGAGGTTTGAAAATGACCTGTCTACAGCAATGGAAAAGCAACTTGGCCGAATTATTCGGGAGAAGTATGATACAGACTTCTACGTCCTTGACAAGTTTCCCATGGCCGTCAGACCGTTCTACACGAAGCCCTGTCCCGACGACCCCACCTTCTCCAATTCGTATGATTTCTTCATGAGAGGGGAGGAGATTATGTCGGGCGCACAACGAATTAATGAAGCGAAGGAGCTTGAAGCTGCAATGTCGGCTAAGGGTATTGATCCAAACGCTGAAGGATTTGAAGACTACATCGGGGCGTTTAGGCAGGGGTGTCCTCCACATGCTGGTGGAGGACTCGGTCTAAATCGTATTGTTATGTTTTTCCTAGGCCTTCCTAATATCCGATTAGCGACACTGTTTCCCCGTGACCCGCAACGCCTTCGCCCATAAGCCTATCGCTTTTTTTAACCAGGAGAGTAGGCAGTATCTGTAGAAATGATGGGAAAAGTCAGGGATTTTCTCGGATATAAAATCCCATGAAATAATGAAATCAAATTTTACATAAATATACCATGATTTTCGACAGCGCATTGGCGTTAAATGAACACACTCGTAACTGCGTCTAGACCTTGTATTTCGAGATTGGCGGAGCTATTTATGCTCAAATCCTAAGGTGGTCCAAGCTGCGGCAAAAAACCAAAAATTCACCAATAATCTCATATTGAGCACCAAGCTCTGGACAACGCGACACTCTACAAGGGAATGTATCTTGTCGCATACGATATCAGGAAACATGCCTGACAAGCGCAAGGAACCTTCTTCAGAATCGAGCAGCCCTCCATATCCCAAAAGGCCCCGTCCTACAGACTCCAACGATGATGAGGAATCATACCCTCCAACCCCCAAAACACCAACCACAGCACGCCTTCAGCCCAAAAATGACCCCGTCTATGGGCAGAAACATGCATTCCCGGGACTGGACGATCTTGGAGATGAGGAACAATTGTGCTACGGCCCTCCAGAGGATGGAATCGAGTATCTGCGTATGGTCCGGTAAGCAACTTTCTTTCTTTTTTTTAACCCCAGGCCTTTACAAACATTGAACTTCCTGCGGCTAAGAAGTTTTTGTTCATATGTATATTTATTCTCTCCATGCAGCTTTGGCAATAGTAAAGTGATGCTGATGGCAATATCCCGCCGTACGTTTTGCGCGGTGTCATGCCTTTGATAATAGATCTGAAGCACGAACACTTCCAGCGATATTCGTCTCCAACACCGTCCGTCAAGACAAGGATAATTCGAGAACCCTTGAAGCTCAAGGAAATAAAACTAACGATGACGACACCATGGCCAAGGAAGTAGAGAGCGGCCAGACTGGCTTTTACTCGGATGGAGTCTATGTCGCATACTCCTCCCAAAACCCCCAAGCCGAAGCATCCCACACAAGCGCTCCTGATGCGCAAGAGATATACTACAACCTACTCCATCACCGCTTCCTTCTTCTTCGATCAACCCTAAAATGCACACCACCAGCATCCGTGATTGCTTCTCTAGGCGCGGAACAGCCCATCTCTCTCCCCCGATCCAACAAGTATGCCAGGGCTGAATGGGAGAAAATAATACAGACAATGGACCCTCGCATGGCGCAGTTGGCATGCATGGATATGGAAAGTGTGCTGGGGCTTCTTGCCATTGTTGCACGCTTGTTATCTAAGACGGTTAGGGGAAATGACAGGGCGCAGGTGAAGAGACTAGGTGCATGGGCATGGGGGCTCTTGGGCCGTTGTCGAACTGTGGGGGAAATGGGAAGTGAGGAAGTGGGGGATATAAGGGAGTTGGGGAAGAGGGCGGCTAGGATTTTGGTGAAGATTCGGGAAAGTGAGGTTGTGGAGGCTCAGGGTCTGGAGGGCGAATTTGATATGGAGGGTGGGGAGGGAGGAGAAGGAGAGGTCGAAGAAAACCAAGAGGAGCAAGAGGAGCAAGGAGTTGGTACTGGGGAGAATATTAACAGGAATGGGAATGGGGATGATGGCCAAGTGGATGAACTGGATATTACGAATGATGCTGCCAGTGCAGATGGGATATTAGGACATGAGGAAGCAAACGGAGACATTATCTCGTCATCTAACGGCGTGGACACTCAGGACGAACTCGAAGCAGCCAAAGCACGTCTCCAAGCAAGACTGCAAGTCCAGCATACGAGTGATAAACTAGAGCCCGGGGAAAGTGAGATCGAGAGAGAGGAGAATAACGATGAAGAAGGCGGAGAAGGCAAGGTGGATGATGATTACAAATCTAGAAATGCGCAGCAATATACCCGCGCCATGCTCGATATGATAATTAGTGTTATTGGAGAATTCTACGGACAGAGAGACCTGCTTGAGTTTCGCGATATATGGGAGGAAGATATAGGTCTTGCTTGGTAGTCAGCTTGCGTCAGGTGAAATTTATTGGCTGCTGAAATCCCCGATCCAACCTCTCTTGCTTACTTGCTTTCTTTATTTTTTGAATAAATATGGTTGCGCTATAGGCCATATCGATTACCTTTTATCCATCACTTAAGGAGTCGACATCTGATGATTTGAAACCCGTTTTCTGGTATGGGAGGAAGAAGAATGATGATGCAGAGCTAGTAACTTTGCTGTGAGCCAAACCAAACATCTCGAACCATGCAGGTCTATCATTATGCAGCCGTATCAAAGCAGTAAAATGACAAAGCCTGCCATCGAAAGCAGTTAATAAGAATGATAATGGTAAACATGAAGAGCGAGGATCTGGTCAAGGCGAGTTGACCTCGGGAGCAAACACACCCACGTGTCTTCTCCATACACCTTGACCCCGGTTGATGGGGCGTCGCAACAAAATATCGTCAGATATATCTCACAAAACCACACAGGCTACTCTTTTTCTTCCAAAGCATTCTTTAGAACCTGCGTCGTCAGATCATCCTGCACCCATCCCTCGATGCGAGCAGCCACATCTCCCACTAGTCGATCGTATGCCGCATTTCGAGAAACGAATAGCGACTGATGAGCAGTGACTTCATCCACTCCTTCCATGTAGACCCTCACCCACAATGGATCCCGCTCACCATTAGTTTCTCTTGGAGGGAGAGCACAAAATTTCCGGTCCTTTTTGACTTTACGGGTGGATTCGACTTCATTATTGCCGTCTAATAGAACTCCATTCGCTTGAGGTGAGTGGCTGTGGTTGGTTGGGGAGGAGGTTGGAAATAATGGCTCTTTGTTTCTCTGCATCTGTTCCTTTTCTGCAGCTAGTTCCTGCTTGCTGGTGAGTTTGTGGACAGCTTTTATTTTCTTTTCCCGTTCTTTCACTACCTTCTCATAAGCCTTCATTTGGCGGGAGTGGTCTTTTTGGGCTTCCTTTAAGAGGGCTTTTGATACATAGGAGGTTGGGTCAAACTCTGGTGGTCGGCGCGGCTGAGGTGGGAAATCAAGATATGTATCTTCCGCCAGGATAGTATGACTGTTCTCTGGTGCACTGTGAGTATGTTCTACTACCAATTGGTGAATTTCGGCACTAATTTCTTCTTCATTTTTTGCTTGCGACAAAGCGACCGAATTCCCTGTCTTTTCTTCCGTTGGTGTGCGAGGATCGACAGATAATGATATAACGTGGCCAAGCTCGGAGGGAGACGTGGGCGCTGTGCTCACTGACCTTCCGTCCAGCACACTTGTATTAGGAGCATTGTTACCGGTACTTCCACTAGCAGGATATTTTATTTTTCCTGTGGACGCAGTGTAGTAGTTAATAAATCTAATACGGCGATATGACCGGCCGCTCCCATCCTGCCTTGGACTGCAGTCGTCAACATCCTCCAATTCTCTCAGACGCCTATATCGGCGTTTGAGACCAGAGTAGTCAGCAATGCACAAGCCGAACTCCACATGCGAAGAAATATATTTCTTAGTCGCATCCACGAGTTGGCTAGAATTTTTAAGTATAAAATTAAAAGCTCCGTCAAGCTGTGATCGTTCTGTAAGTCGGGTGTCATTCGGGAACAGCGGGTCGAAGTTAGGATCATCAGGGGAAGAAATGGAGGGCTTCATGATTGAGGAGTCAACGGGAAAAGGTTGATTTCGCGGGTCCTTTTTCTTGATTTTGGACCTAAACAAACTCCCGAAGCCGGTGGTGATCACACGGTGATGCAGGCCCAGAAATGGGACATCCAAGTTTATAGTCCCCATAATCCGATGCTTAAACATTTCTGGGCCCTGTGAATCAGCGGGGCCAAGGAGGGCAATCTCTGCTGCAAGAATTCCACCTAGGCTATGTCCAACTAGCACGATGTCTGTATCAGGAGATTCATGAGGGCACAGCCTATCAATGAAATGTGATATATCAGTGTGAATATCCCCTAGCGAGAAGGGGGAGAAAAAGTTAAGGGAAGCCACTCACCAATAACTCAAATCATCCCTAACAAGTTCGATTGTTTTTCTTGTCTTGTATCGGGGATAGATTTTGGAATGAACGACGTGCGATTCAGAGAGCATAACAGAAAGCAGATTATGGACATGCGCGGGGAATTTTTTGAAGCTGGTATCCGACCCTACAAAGCCATGGATGTAGATGAGTAACAGTGTTCTTCGCCCATCTCGATTTGAGTAAACAGGGAGCAGAGATTGCATCGACGGCGAGCGATTATCTTCTTTAACGCGAGATCGAGTAGGAGAACGCCCTTTTCGCTCAACTTGAGCGTCATGGTCATCGTCCACATTCGGGAGCGGTGCTGAATAGGGAGTCAAATGAATGGTATCCGCTCTGTGCATGGTGATCGGGATATTGAAATCTGCCGAACCCCCTGGCGACGCTGGTCTCTGCACAATTTGCTCAGACATTTTGAGTAATAGAAAGGTTGATTTGTCTATGCAATTGGATTTGGCCCATGGGGCCAGCGAGTGTTGAATGTTATAAATGCAGAGGCAACGGAACCTTCAAAATGGCAAAGGAAGGAAACAGCCATGGACTGTGAGACGCCGCTCAACCTCCCTAACTCCACATGCGACATACTGAACCATTTTATTCACACAATTTCTATACATAGCTGTGATTGTTGAAATCGGTGTCTTTCGTGGGAAGGGAGAAGATGGTTAGTTGTTGCTGGCTGCGACATTCGCGAACAGCCAGTCAATAAATATGTGCTTGATATTTATTGTATTCCCATTTTGAGATACTACCTCGATGATTCTTCGTCTTTGCCATCCTGAAACCATAATAGCAGCCACGTACGAAATATTTTTCTGCTTCAGAATTTAGAAATACCATGTGCAAGCTTCTAAATGTCATTGCACTAAATTGCCTCTTCGTGGCAGGAAAGGTCCCATACTTATCTGCACGCCTAAAATACTAGTGTCTATTTAAGTTCGCTCTCTCATGCGTCATTGCTTTTTTCCGACTGTTCGTGAAGTCGTGACTTGTCTTGAACCACCAACTACATCCAGCTGATCCTCTACCCAACACTCAGCCTCTGAAACAGCTTCCTTCTAGAACAACATTAGCAACTCTCTTCTCCGTTTGACTAGTATGCAATCAAGGACAGATACGGACGCTCTTACCACCTCGCAGCCTCTAGGCTTCCTTCTGCCCTAGTCATGGCTCCGGCCGTCGAAATATCCATTCCAACAACTACCCTCTCCACGACCCCGAGCCCTTACACCATCTATAACATCTCCATTAGACTCCCATTATGTACATTTACTGTCCAGAAGCGCTATTCAGAATTTCTTGCCTTCCATGCCTCATTATCAAGCCAAGTAACCGCCCCCCCGCCCGCTCCTCTACCTGGAAAATCCTGGTTCACGAACACGAACTCCAACCCAGTATATCGAGAGAAGCGCAGGGAGGGACTGGAAGCGTATCTACGTGCCATCAACGAGGCAGAAGACCCGCAATGGCGTAATTCAAGCGCTTGGCGTGCATTTCTCAATCTGCCCAGCGCTGCTCGGAGCAACGGCTCCTCTCGTGCCTCATCACATTTACATGCTGCGGTCATGACACCAGGAGCCGGCGGCAATGCAGGCCCTATCACAGACCCGGTTACCTGGCTCGATTGCTACCGCGATGTAAAGTCACAACTCCACGATGCTAGACTCTATCTCACACGTCGCGATCAGGCTGCCACTCCTCAGAAACAACACGAGTGCTCTGCGCAGGCGAAGAGCAGCCTTGTTCGAGTGGGGACGTTGCTGACTGGCTTGGATGACGGGTTGAAGAATTTGGGTAACAGATCTACGTGGGGGGGTGATAAGCTGGGTAGCGGTGAGTTGAGGCGAAGGAAGGACCTGCTCTCCAGTGCTCGGAAGGAAAGAGATGGATTAGAAAATTTATTGAATTCCATGTCCGCCAAGGCGAAGTTGGACAATGCCGTTGCATCGGTGCAGGATAAGGAAGCTCTTGTCGGAGCGTCAAAACCCCGACCGGGCCGGGTATTGGGCAAAGAGACGGATCAGACGAGGGAGCTAGATAACCAGGGCGTCTTGCAGTTGCAGAAGCAGATCATGGAGAACCAGGATGTGAGCTTGGAGGATCTACGGAAGGTTCTAGCGCGCCAGATGGAATTGGGAGTTGCGATTAATAGTGAGTTAGAGATTCAGAATGAGATGCTTCAGATGGTGGATGAGGATGCGGACAGGTCAGTGGCGATTCTTTTCACCGTTCCGATTCATTATATGAGATTGGCTATTACTGGAATGGTCTACTGACAGCTCGAATATGCAGAGTAAACCGCAAGGTCGAAATTGGGAAAAAGAGAGTTGGAAAGATATCCTAGATTGTCTTACAGTTGCATCCTGAAATATCCTTGCATACTTTTTCACGAGAGCAATCGATTTAGCCAGGCACTATGAATTACGTTAAATGGCGTTTATTTTGACAGTTTACCGTTATTTCCCCCAGGGTTTTTGGATTATATATAATCAGTGCCATGTTACAATATTATTAAACAGGTTCATTTGGCTACCCAAGTCATTAAGTCATCCCATAAGTAATATGAACGAAACGGTTCCCATTCGTATTCTGGATCGCAGCAGTGTCATGTGAACTTGCGCCACCGCCCTATCTATTGCTTATTTTGCGGATAAAAACTGACCAGATGTTAGAAACGGCCTTGGGGTTAAGAGGATGTAAAGCATGAGATGGGAAGCGGTTACTTACCGCGCGAGCTTCTTCCTCCGTCACGTCGGAAAGCTCGGAGAGCCTCTTATCAATCAACCCGAGCCTATTTTTCCTTATATACCACCACATTTCGCGCCTATCCCCACCAAGGTCATTCCCTAGTAGCTTCGTTTTCAGGTTGCGGATGAAGTCATTATAGAGGGTTGGCTCCTCAAAGGCAACTAGTTCCTCTTTCATGGTTCCCAAGCCTTCGACAGCCCGATCATAGTTGGCATCGCCCAGACTGTGTCTGATTTGGCTTTCGATTATGGAAGACATTTGTTTCACAGCATCCTTGACCGCGTCGAGATCCTGTGAATTAACCAACGATTGCTTGAATTCAGGTATGGCGTTATCAGGAGAGATCTTGACACGTTTTTCTGTCTGGAGAAGCTCTTCGACGTTTAAGCCCGAGAGCGGTTTGTCTATTTCTCGGTCGCGTTTGCGGCCTTTGGCCTTAGGGGGGACTGCGATAAGAAAACAGTCGTTAGCTATGAAGATTATATGCAGTAGTGTTCTTGAAAAAGAATAAAGTACCCTTTTTAACATCGGAGGTTGCTATGAGATTAGCAAGGGTATTTTCGCTCTGAGCTTGTAGGTCCTCTGGCTGACGTGATAATTTCTGAAGGATCTCGGGCACCGGAGGGAAAGGCTCGGAGGGGTGGACCGCACGCCACCGAATGGCATGGTCGATCCGATGCAAAAGGGGCGAAAAAGAATTTTCTATTGACATAGACTCGATGGTTTCTCTGCCTAGAGTAAGCTCTCAGGACTTGTTACAAGAAGTTTGACCACTCACCCATCTTCATCTTTTTCTGTGAGCTCCAAGCTATCGACATACTCGGCCATCCTGGAAAGCAAGGAATCACTCGGGAGGTTCCGATGTTCAGTCACCGTTTTCCCCGAAACTGTGACGACTTTATCCAACGGTGGGAAACGGTAGGAGCGCATGTCTTCTGCAAAAGGCAATTGCACCTCGAGGAGACACTCATAATCAGGCTCTATCGAAGGTGCAAGGAGAACTACCAGTGGAGATTTGCCAGCTTTTGGGACCAGCCTTGCCACAGCATAACATTCAAGTTCGAACAAGGCGTGAATTATCGACGAAAGTGCAAGGATAGCTTTATTATTCGTCTTTTGCGCAATGATAATATTGGATGTTGACATGTTCATATAACGGTCAAACTATTGTCCATGAATTAACAGCCTTGAATGTGTCGAAATGGAAAAGGGATTTACGAACGTTGTCACTTGGGATGAATCCTATAAACTCCAAAGCAGCCTCCGTTTCCAGTTTGGTGATGTTTTCATCTGACTCGCTGATATGCACGGCAGTGCGTCCATACTCGTAGCCTTTGGCAAGTTCATCTCGTGCCACATCTCGCTTACCTCCTGCAGCCCCTTTGTCATCCACCTGATACGTCCGAGCGTTTCTCACAGCGGTTAAGGAAGCAGCTCCAGCCCCTCGTTCCTGGCTAGGCTCCTTGGTCGCTAGAGTAGCTGACGACTGAGCGGTCTCTTGTCCTTCTGATAACGCAGATGAGGAAACAAATGAACTTGCAACAGGCGGCCGAGCCGCATAGGTTCGATAGTATCTCTCCACCTGGATAGTTAGGGCAGATGAATATTGGTCCGGATCCCCTAGCCTTAAGTCACCTTTGAAAGTAGGCATTGACCGTACAACTTTCGTTCGAGGTATCTCCATCTCGGATATTGCATGTTCCAAGGTACCGAACATACCCTCGCAATCCTCGACAAGCTGTTTCAGATGGCTCTCATTTTTGGCCTGACGGGTTGGTCACTATTGTCCCTCTTGTATTTGGCAGTGAAGCCTACCTTCAATGGCTCCTTATCTTCTTCTTTGAACCCATACTCCGGATCGTCAAAATCAACCCCACTTTTCCAAGTTAGATGAAATTCTGTCGCGAAAGGCGAAAACTAATATTCAACTCACAGTATGACAAGCTCAATATTCTCCTCGTTTATTTTGCTCACAATTCCATCGATCCCGTCTATATCCATAGCACCCGTTCCATCTGTAACGAGGACAATCTTTCGCTTGTACTTCAATTTTTTACAATATCGTACAATCATATCAATTGCCAGGATCAGAGAAGATATTGCTAGAGAGTCTATGAGAGAAAGATCTAAAAATAAAACAAACACAAAATTTCGGTCTATCACACGTACCATCGCCTTCTAACGTATGGCTAGGTTTGATCAATTCACGCAGCTCGCGAATTTGGGGCATGAGAATCCTAGGAACACAGTTATTAGCCCGAAAAAATACAAAAGCGACAAAACTCAAGGTCTCAACATACTGGCTTATGTCTTGGAAAACGGAGATGTTGGCATAGCTTTCCTCTTCATCCTTCTCCCATAATGGATTATTGGAGTCTATCATAAATGGTTAGCAAAACATCTTACATATCGGAGAAGACAATCTACCATCAGTTTTGAGGCCAATTACTCCAAGTGTCGCCGTTTTCCTGCCCGTAGCAACCTAGATAATTCGTGTGAGATATGGTCAATGCAAGGAAATTACAATTGTAATACCGTGGTTGTAATCTTGTCCCAGATATACCGCATAGCCCAATCAAGGTCTGATATCGACCTGCCATTATGGCATTCACCCATAGATTTGCCGACATCAACAATATACACAGTAGCTTCCTTGTCCGCCATCTTTCAAACCGCTTTTCCTGTGCAGGGAAGACGGAAGACGGAGATGAAGAGAATAATCAATCATGGGCCAGTGTATTATCCAAGAAGAGAGCTGTCAGGAGCTGGCTGTAGGCAGACACGCCCCAGACGCGAGGTCACATGCTTTCTTGAGGGGTCGTGGAATTTAGTGGCTTATCATGTGGAAGTTGGCAGTTCCGCATTGCACTCGGCTTCTCTGGCAGTGGCCCGTGTGTATAGTTATTGCCTCGCCGGCAATGACGATGCCGACAACATCCAAGCCTCAAGGACGGCTCCTTTCGTGCGCTGGCAGGTTCTCCTCATCCTTGTTACATCAGGTTTTATTCCCAGCCAGGAGCCAGTTTATTGCTCTATCCAAGGAAGACACACAGGACATAGTTATCTGAAATATCGTGAAGAATGGTTGAATTCTCGTTGGCACCATTTCATGTTATCAGGTTTGGCCCATCTATATAACTCCGCGATTTTTGAGCCATGCTTGCACCACAGCTAATATTCCATGATTTAGCTATGGCACACTTCTTGGTGCCCAGCTCTATCAGGTTCGTTCATGATGTGTCGCCTGATGTCCGCTTATGCTTGATACTGAGATTTGGTAGACCTTTGTGGGCGGTATCATCGCATACAGAACACTTCCCCGCCCTCAATTCTCCACCCTCCAAGCGTCAATGATTCCCGTTTACTTCACTCTACAAGCGTCACTACCAGTGGTCGTTGCTTTAACATACCCGGGAGAAAGGACATTCGGGGGGCGCGGCGTATCTGGGCTATCCGGAGTATTGGCTGAAGGCAACCGGACGACAGCGTTATATCCACTTCTTACAATGTTCCTAGCTGGCCTGACAAACAGGTTGGTCCTGGGCCCAATGACTGCTAAGGTCATGCGCCAGAGGAGACATCAGGGTTTGTTAAAGTCCCCCTCTCCATATTTTGGGGCATCCACAGCTAATACTGCGGATAGAGACGATCGATGGAAAGAAGTGCTATGATCCCGCTCCTCACTCCAAGGAGATGCTTCGTCTGAACAAAACCTTTGCCAAGGTTCATGGGGTCTGCTCCTTGGTTAGCCTTTTGAGCATTAGCTCAGCAGTATACTATGGAGTGGTGCTCGCAAATCGGCTTGAATAATTGGCGGCAAGGCACATCTACCTCCAACCTCCCTTATTATTATCAGGGGTCTTTCTCATCATTGAAGCAATTATTTCTTATTAATTGGCATCAAATCTCACCTCAATTGTCATATCTCGAGTGTTGCGCGTCGTACTGTACATCACTGGCAACTCATAATGTCAACCGTTTTTATCGTTAAAGGATACTCCACCTTTCTTGTTCTTCGAGTATGTATTATTTCGTTAAATTTTGACCTCATATACCCAAGAAACATTGGATATTTCTGCATCAGTACTTGAAATGAACTCTTTGTTATACACTGTATCAACTTCTTTATTTACCATAATTATTCTCCAAGGTGCTCATTTTACGGTACCCTACTATTTACAAAATGGGTTACGGGTTTCGTTAAGAATCTCCTTTCCAGTCTCAGTCAAACATCCATTTGGCATTGATGCTATTATTAACCTATCCAACGTACCTCTTTGCTCGTAAGTGTTCATTGATTTATACAATTTTATCATTGTTCTTTATGCAGCAGACATAAAGAATTGTGAGAAGGGAAGCTAGCTGACTTTGAATTGCCGCCATCACTATTGTTGGATATCATTAAATCCTATCCACTAGTCTTTAATTCAAATTTGATTATCAGTTCTTGTAGGGTTTCTTTCACTATCAATGCTTCAAAAAATTCTCATTCAGGGCAAGCCTTATTTTTTCTCACTTATTTCTTCTTTCTATTCACGCCTGCTACAACGGATTCTGTCTTGTAGCCCCGGGCACCTTCAAACCCATTCGAGTTCCTTCAAAAATCACCGTAAGCTTACTACTTTATTGTTGTGTTTTGCAATCCATTTCGTTCACTCTCCCAATGATATTTCCACCATACTGCTGCAATGTCCTCATAAATCGAGCATAGCATCAATTCAGTCAGACACATAAAGTATTTCCCTATACATTGACAAAATGCCCGTCTAAACTTCCTTGCATCTCTATCCTCCATCCCATAATACGGTATCCAAGCAATTTTCTTTCTCTATTTCGAGCTTATCATCGCCATGGTCCTCATTGGGCTTGTGATTTTGTCAGTCTCTGTGGCTTTACTATTTGAGGGACTCCAGGAAATTCCGCTCACTTATATCAAGCCGGCGAACGGTTTTGAATGGCGTTTATACGACGGATTTCGTTCCACATATGTTATGGGCAAGCTGGGAAAGGTCCTAGATATTGATATCCCTGAGGAACAACATACTACCGCCCAGACCACGCCTATACCAACTGGAATTCTGGCACCGATGCCGACGGAGGCAGACCACGTAGTAGAACCAACTATGACTAGAAACTTTATTGAACCGCGAGCTTTAATCGAAATACCTGATCATTCCCAAGTTGGCAAAATAGAAGGGTTTTTGGAATCGCTCAAAACATTCTTTTTTGATGGCAAAAATGTCTTCGGCCAAGCCCTCATATTTATTATCTATGCCAGCGCCGTACTACTTCTTCTCCGTGCGGCACGTACTTACTTTCTTTTCATGTACACCATATGGAAAAGGGGCGGGTTATATCTCACTGGTAGAGCGACGCATGGTGGAATTGACAAAGCGGACGCTGAGTTTGAGCTCCAACGATATCTTCTTTTGAGTAAGATGGATTTAATCAAAGCTTCAGCTGAAGTTTTCGCATTATTAAAAGCTACAGATGGAGAGCTTAAGCAGCAGATGGCGACGATCACTACTACATTCGCCCAGTGTTCAAAAGAAGTACTCGAGGAATGCGTGCTCTTGAAGGAAGCTGCGCATGGCTTGAAGACAGAGTATACGACCTGGCCGACACGAGATGAATTGCTTCGTGATTATATTGAAAATTTCAAGGACTCCCTCACCGCCGCGAAAGATGATCTAGACTCTGAAATCGACAGGTTAAAGAATCTTATACCAAACTTTACAGAAGAATTTCATCGGACAGTCAGAAGGCTTGATGCAAATCTTTTGGGTAGTCTGCCCATGGTGTATCTGAAGGAAAGACGGCTCCTCGAGTCGAACATTCAGACGATCCGTGAAGCCATGAACCAGCTTCCTTATTTAGGGTCTCTAGAAAATGAAGTTGCGTTGGCTAGGACGGAGATGGAAAATATCCAAACCCAGATGAGGGACATGGTCACTGATAGCCGTGAGGCACTTCGAAATACGGTTTGCATACATCAGGAGATAGATGAGCTAAAAGTAAGTAGTATCAAACTATAACTTATGTTCCAGCCCATAGTTATGTGGTTCCTAATAACATTCGTTTTCATGTTAACTGGTCAGTCTGTCATCTTAGGACAAGTTACGCTATTTAGAGGAGGAGCTGGCCCCCTCCAGGCTAGCACCCAAATCAGCCAACATAAATAAAAAAGGTTTCCGTGACATCCAAAAGCTTTCGATGGTGGGGCTTCCCACCAACGCACTGAATGATTTTGGTGGAGAGACAAGCAACACCGATTATCATGGGGACGCGAACTATGATATGCGACAGGGACCGAAGAAACATGGGAAAGTAGATGAAAGTGATATCGAATCTTTCCCTTCCTCTCTGGCACGATCCGTTACATCAAGCGAGCTTTCTGAGAGTCTGCTCAGGGCCCTGATGGTAGAAGACCCCGCTGACATTCATGGCAAAGGGAGATGGAACATCGATGAAGATGCGTCCTCTTCAGTGCCAATATCACCACAATATCCTCCATGTAAGGAGAGAAATATGCTCTGGTCGTCTTCGCTGGAGAGTGACTCGGAAATAGAAGAAGAATGCAGTGGAGAGAAGCAACTCCAGAGCTCAAGCTAGAGATCGCTGAGCATCCGAACTCAGAAAAAGGAAGAGAGAAACAACATGCAACTCGAATCCATTATATTGCACTCAAATCTGAGAAAACTCCCATTCCTGCAGACTGACTGATTATTCCAAGTTCAATTTTGCTCTTGGTCATGGCATTTGGAAGGATTAATAAATTTGCCTGTTCTAATCCACTTGAGATTGAAGATGAAAACAGTCCATCGCTTACTCCCTTGCATAAGGCGTCATCTCAAAGAACTTTTAGGAATGTAAATTAAATGTGTTAAGAAATACGAATAAGTTGAGCGAAGTGTTATGTCCAAGTAGAGGCGGGATAGTCAGCTAAATTAATTTGCTACAATGTATCAGCTAAGCTTAGATGGAGTCTAACTTGAATAAGGAATAGCCTGCCTTCCAAGGTTCTGAAATAATAATTGGTTAGACTCCTGAACCTTAATGAGACCACCAACTTGCAGGAATCTACAAGAGCTACAAAATCTTCCGAAAGAGGTGTTTCATTATCTCCAGCCTACAATTTTCCAGCTTATTCATTTTTTAGCATAGAGAGGGAGGAATCTGACTTTCTAGGTTAGACATGTTTGTTATTGTAAGTGACCGTGCTGTTGTACCCTGGATGGGTCGACACCAAAGACTGCCCAAACAGCAAACCATTGATGGCTAATCTCTTGGTGTTCAGAAATCTGGTATTTTGTCCTAATAAACCACTACAGCATGCTGAGCATGCTGTAGTTCTGCAACAAAGCCCTTCGATGCTAGTCTCTGTTTGCAGCATCTGTGATAGACTCATATGTCTACTGTTTAAAGGGTTTTGAAAAAGCTTTGTTATGAGCCCTTCGATGGTGGGTTTATCCCCTAGCCCACAGATATATGAATCTGTCATCAGCTCGTAAAATGTACTGCCTTCATGGTCTTTGGTAGTACTCAGCTCTTTGTTTATGAAGCACATGGGTATAGTCAGTGGGATCACCCCCCACTGAAAAGAATTCCAATCATTGCAGCACTTCCACAATGGAGGCAATTGATGGTATACCCACAACCCTGCACTAAAAGATAGCATTTCATTCATGCACAGAACAGTGCTGAGCTATTGAATACTACGAAACATCGGCTGCGCTGCAGACCAGGTTTAAAGGAGTAGGAGCAAACAATCCTTAGAGCCCCCTCCCCCACAGCCAATCGAGCCGATTTGATGAAAGAATTTCATCGTTTGCAAAGCTCCCAAGCGGCTGAATGAAAGAGGACCCATCTGTTTTACTCCCCTGGCCCGTTTATGGAGCGGCAGTTATATATGACAGGGATTTCCCTCTCAATAGTCATTATGTTTCTATTTGTTGCCGTATCTGTGCAAGCTGTTGCTTTATTTGGATCCGCCATTTGCTGTTATCGTGAGGCCCGCTACGTAACGAAGTAAAAATACTTCACGCTTTCGCCAACAGCATCTAACTACATTGATACTCCTGAGCCTTTTAATTTCTTCATATTCCCCATATAAAGCTCCCACAACAAGTCCACATTGATTCCATCTTCCACCTTACGTTTGCCACCACGCTACTATCTACTTGATATCAACGCACGAATTTGCATTCTCTCTCCATTTCAGACTGTTCAACCGAATTAAGACTTCCTGGAGTCTCCTTTTCCCACACCCAGTCAGAGCCTCAAGCCGCCACATAGCTATCTTTATCAGAATCATGGAGCTTTACCTACTTGTTGGCGTATTTACGCTTTTAACCAGTATTGGGTTTTATCTTCCAGTTCCGCTTACGAATATTCACCCAGATAGACCTCTTCCAGATCGTCTCGTTGGTGCACTCCAGCTGACCGCCACGGGAGAATGTGCCGCAAGGATCTATAATTATTTTAGTACATCGCAACGTCGTGATGCGGATGCTTATGTCTTGGGAGCTGATCCCAAAATCCACGAAATCCATACAACATACACGCCAATCCTTGATCAGTTTCAGCAAGATACTGCGCAGAGAACTCTCCAAGATTTCAAAGAACCCCCGCAGACTGTCACAATTTTTGTGACCTCAACAATTACGGACCACTTCGGAGCCGGCCAAACGATAATGCCAGACAATATTTATGAAGTTCCAACTAATCCCGAGTGGGTTTTATCTAGATGGATCGTCCTGCTCGAGGACGCAATAGTACGCCACCCAAATATGTATACGACCGTCATTCTT